CTGAGCTCCGATTTCCATGGGAGCCGGGGTGCTGAGCCCTGCTCAGAATGAGGTCCGTAGTTGATGGGTAATGTGGCCTAGGAGATCTGTAACCAACAGCAACAGCTGAAAGCTCAGGGCTGGGGATCACAGCTCTGGGGGATCTGCGAGAACTATCACAACTTCACTCAGACAAGCTCATCGATCCTTGGTTAAATCACCGTCGCTTCCCTCTCCTGCCCCGAGACCTCCATGTTACCGCTGCCAAGAGCCTAGATGCCATGGGGATGGGCACAAATCAAACTTTACAATAGCTAGCAGCAGGAGAGAGGCCTCATAGGGATCCTCTCGTGAAGCCGCACACCGGCATGGCAAAGATGCTGGTGGAAACTGACAGAGTCCCATTGGCCAGCGTGGGGGGCTGGATACAGTACTCCCCCAGAAAGACGGCCCCCGCCCTTTCCCCAGCAGCTTGTGTCTGGAGACCGCCCTCAGGCAGGAGCGTGGCTGCTCCGACGAGATGAGGCAGGTCTCGTGAGCCACCTGTCGGGGGATATTCTGTGCAGAAGGGGAACGGTTTTGCTGCTCCGTCTCCTAGCAGGAATGCGGTGGCTCAGGTTTGCCCAGTTCCTCTCCTCGCAGGATTCCTGCTCACCGAGGGGGCTTGGCTTCTCCCTGGTGGAGCTGCGCCAGGAGGCCGTGGCTGCTTTGCTGCTGGAAGTCTCTCTTTTCGCGTACCCTGTTCAGAAACGGTTCCTTAAGTGGCTGTTGCGTTTGTCCCCCCAGCCCTCGTGCCTCCTGGGAATTGACCCTGGAAACAGCCAGAATGAGAGATCCCGCTTAACCCAAGAGCAGAGTGACTTCACTATCACCTTCCCCTACAATTTGCCGTCCTAGCTGGAATTCAGCAACCAGAAGGCAGGACCCCGCGGCCCCTCCTCCATTGTCAAGTTTGCAGGAGATGGGGTGGTGTTACGTCTCCAGGGGCTTGTTCCTGGTTGGGTTAGGATTCCATCCATCCTTCCACAGCCCTGTCTGCCTCCGCGTCTTGCCTGCGTCTTGATCTCAGAGACTTGTCAGATGGCTACGCGGCTATCGGTTCGCACCGGTGCTCAGTGCCGCTCTCTTGATGCTTGGAGCCGCGTCAGACGCCGGGTACTGGAGGCTGCTCCTGCTGGGTTGCCCACTCTGAGCCACCTCTCGGGGAGCAAAGGGGGTGGACGGGGAATCGTTTTGCTGCTTGCTTTCCTGGAGCCGGCTGGAAGGGGGAACACTGCTGAAGCTCCCTGGATGTGTTGCCTTCCCAGATCCATGCTGACCGGCCTCCCTCCCTGCTGCTTTGGAGCCTTGACTCATTAGGCAGAAGATCCAAGCAGGGTGTGAACCACCAGTCCATAGTGTCCTGTGTGGAGCGGTCGGTGGCCATGCACGATCCTCGGCATGAACTGATTTAGGGCCAGTCCCAGCTGGGTCTCAGATCCTCCAGCCAGAACCTCGGTTGAGGGCCCCCAGAACCTTGCTGTGCCAGGTTCCTAGAATGGGCCTGGGGTTTGCCAGGCAGAGCATGCCACGCTCTTGCTGGGTGGCTCTGTGGCACAGCACTTGGCCAGCTCCGTGCTGGTAAATAACCGTCCTTTCCTCGGGCCGTTCCTGGGGTAGAGTGTGAAGGGATGCGAGGCTGGGAGGCTTCAGGTAACCGAATGATGCTCCAAGCTGCAGGGACCAATACACACCCTGTGGTGGTGCTTGTCTGTGTGTTCCTAGCAAAACCTCTTCATGAGGAAACTGGCAGCAGAAGAGTTAAACCGTGGCAGGCCGGGGCTGGTGGCAGGTGTTGACAACAGGGGGCGCTACCAACGCTCCCTCTCATTTTTGGCAGGCCGTGTGCGCAAAAAATGTCTTCTGTGCAAATTGTTGTGCGTCTGTGCAAATGTTTGTGGGCGCGGTGTTTCGCCGTGTGTGCGGGGTTTAGGATCTGTGTGCGTGTGGAGGGACCAGTGGGCTCTACTACCCCTGAAAGGGATCTTTCCTGGCTCCCGGTGCAGCAGATTTCTGCCATCCCAGTGAAAAAGGTCCACAGTAATTATCTGCAATACACAGCCGTTTAGTGAGAAGGAGTTACACGAGCGGTAAAGGGTTATATTAAGCACATAACTCCTATGTTAGACATTAAGAGCGATACATTCCTCTGAACAAGTCTCTCTTTCACAAACAGGCCCTGTGCTAGCCTCACGCAGTTCCTGCTTGGCAAACAGAGATGGTGGTTACCAATTTCTTCCCTCCTGGTCTGTTCTTCCCAGCCCTCTGCTCTGTCTCGGATTCCCTCGAGGCCAGACCCGCTCTGGTCACAGTCCTACTCCAGCCCATGGAGCAGAGTTTTGGCCACTCTGTCTAGCAGCGTTGCTTTCTTCAAGCGTCACCAACCACAGTAATGCACTTTGCTCGATTTTTGTACTCTTCTTCCTCAAAGGAGTCCCTTGTCTTAAAAGCATGCCCAGTGGGCGTGTGGCTACTGATTTTACCTAATTCCTGTTTTAGAAGGGGCTGGGGGAGTGGAACCAAAGGAAGATCACCGGACGTTTACTCACTCATCAATCATTCACTCGGTCTCTCTGCCTGAGGTTCCTGCTGGCAGGTCGCTATAACCAGGTCAACCTCTGCTCCATGCTGGAACTTTATACCTGTGATGTTCACGTCGCATGAGCCCGTGGTTGCCGAACAGTAGATTCAATATCGATCGTGCACGTGGATTTTGCCAGTTCTTCATCAAATCTGCTTCCGCTTAAAGGGACCCTGCTCCCAGGATCCTCTGCAGCCCTTCAGCCATGTTTAAGTCATGTCAAGTTATGCTCACACCCTTCATTCAGCATGGCCACATGACCGTCCCAACAGCAGGGAGCCAGTGGGCAGCAGAGGGCATGGGTGGGGTCTGAGGATCGTGAGTAAGATGGGGAGTTCTCCCCCGCTGGTTGTCCTTATTTACATCGGTTCTTCACAGGGCCGGCGGGCAGCTGGGAGCGCGGGAGCAGATCCGGGAGGTTTTCTAAGCGATGGGAGCATTGCGCTCAGCTCCCTCGTTTCTCGGGTTCAGAGCTTGGATTCGCGAATGGCATTAGGCCTGGCAGGCCGAACACTGTTCCATGCAAGGAGCCCGCGAGGAATTGGCTTTCTCCACTGGGGGCTGTTTGGAAGCAGAGCTTCTTGCACCGAGCCAGCCCCACATGTGAGCGTGGAAAAGCCCAGCACGGAGGTGTAAATAACCCCAGCCCTAGTCCAGTGGGGCAGCCAATTGTGATACCCCCAGCGAGGGCTTCGCGGCAGAAAAGTGACTCTTCTTTTGTTAGTGTGTGTTTATATAGGGCCACTCTATAAAATAACCGGTCCCTGTCCTGTGGCATATACGGGGTACTCTTTCCCATTCAGACCCTGGCCAGGACATATACAAACCCATCTCCAAGACCAGGCTCGGTTTCTTAATTATCTTCTTATCTACCTGTTAGTTTTCACTCCTTTATCTCTTCACACTGGCAGCTGTCAGACCTGGTAAAATCTCTCTGCAATAAAAGGAGAAGTGGACACTGTGAAAGTTCACAGCGTTTTACAACGAGAGCGTTGCTGACCAAATATGGATTTCCCCCCCCCCCCCCCCCCCCGAATTTCCATATGTGCACATTGTCTCAGTTAACACTGGTTTGGGGCAATTCCATGAGGTTTTATTCACCTACTAACCTTTCTGTCAGGGAATACAAGTTACCTGCTGTAAATAATGTGAACTCGTTGTTTCCGGCTAGAGCTGATCAATCACTATGCCGCCAAGCATGGGCGCTGACTCTGTGGGTGCTCCGCGGCTCAAGCACCCATGGAGAAAAAATTAAGGGGTGCTCAGCACCCACCAGGCGCAGCTGTTCAGCTTGGCCACCAATCAGCTGTTGGGTGGCTGCTGGAGCCACTTGGGGAGGGGGGAGAGGGGCGAGCAGCAGGTGGTTGGGGGGCCTTGGGGGAGGGGCGGAGCAGGGGCAGGAAGAGGCGGCGTAAGGGCGGAGCCTTGGGGAGGGGCACAGCGAGGGCGGGGCCTCAGGGGTAGGGGCAGAGTGGGGGTGGGCCCTCGGGGCAGAGTGGGGGTGGAGCACCCATCGGGGGAAAATATAAAAGCCAGCACCCGTGATGGAAGCAGGTGTTTAACGTTCAGAACATGCCGACGCCCCATCGCTCGTTGAGGGCGGAGCAGGTGCTGAAATCAGCATGGCCAGCTTTTATGATTGTTGGCACGGCCTCGCAAGACCCCGGTCGCTGGCGTCAGAGAGACTCTCTGCGCTCCCTTTTTCTTTTCTTTTTTAAAGTCAGTTTTCTGGACCTCGTGGTTGAGACAAGCTTGTAAACGTGACCTGAGCGTGAGCTGAGAGCTCTGCCACCAGACCGCGGGGAAAAAAGCATCCACCATTTTTAGCCATCTCAGGATTTTGAAGGCAACCTTGCGAGATCGGGGCCCGACTCGTGCTTTGCGAATGCGTGGCGTTGGCGTTCTTTGTGGAGCGGGGACCGTGAGCCTTAACTCTCGGGCACGGCGACCCTTCGAGCGGGGGGTGGGACTTCCTGCTGTAGGAGACACACCCGCGCTACGCTTTAAACAGAGGATAGCCACGGTGGTGTCCAGGGCAAGCTGCCCTGAGGATGGTCTCATGCGAGACACGGACACAGACTCAGGTGGCTAGCCCCTCCCACCACAGCCCCTCTGCTATTTTTAGCATGCTAGCACGATCAGAGCTGGCGTGTGTACGTCTCCTTGAGCTGGAATTTACGCCCGCAGCTCGGAGCGTAGCCGCTGCTCTGTGAAATCCCATCCCATCCATATAGAGCCGTGGCCAGGTTTCCAGGGATTGCTGGCCTTTGATGCTTTCCTTCCAGCCCTGAGCAGGGAAGGGAGCGGGACAGCTTAGCCGCTCCTGGGAAATGCGGAAAAATCAGAGGCCCTTTTGCTGTGGGCGGAGCCTTAACCGTCTCCTCTCTCTCTCTTTCCACAGCCATCCAACGGGGAGAGCACCACCAAGCATGTAGACGCCACAGTAAGTGACATGCCCTGGCACGTTCGTATCGATGCCAGGGTTCGGGCCGAAGGGCGGGGTCCGGAGTCCGAGACAACCGAGTCTCTGTTGGTATTCTCGTGAAGGGACTCCCACTCTTCTCCCTGTGTCGGTTTAACGACACCCGTTGTGGTGTGTTGCCCCCATGAGGGACTTATTTTGTTAGCAAGGGAAGATGGAGGCCTTGAGATTTGGCCCGCTTCCTGCTCAGGAGCATGTCCATTGAGCCATTTCCTGTCCTGAGAAGTACTATACTGGGAAGTGCCACTAGAGGACGACAATACATGACCTGCAAATGTTGCAGCTGGTACATGACATGCTAGATTTGAGGTCTTCTTCCCGAGCTGAAATCAGAAACTGTCCCCTCGAATAAGCCGCGGGTTGCACGCCTGCTGTGAATTGAGCTGAACGGCCGTGCTGCAAGCACCGTGGCCGGGCCAACTGGCTTTGGAAACCAGAGAGCGGATTTCAGCTTTCTCACGGAGCTGGAACGCGTCTGGGAGCATTTCTGCAGAGCCGAGAAAGGGCTGATAAAACGTTGTCCCTCTTAATTTTAATTCCCGCTGCATCCTGGGGGCCAGCGGGGAGGGGCAGTGGACGGTCTGAGGACCCACGCAGGAGGTGTCATGGAGTCAGGCCAGCACGAGAAATCTCCTGTGAGATGACCACCTTGCATATGCTGCTATTGAAGTCTTCTCCAAAGAGACCCATCCAATCTTTTGCGGTTCTCCCAGCACCACGAGCCCGTACCCCCATCTCCCCAGACGAGAGAGCGTTGGAGCCTGGCTCCGCGGCTGTGGGCCTAACCATCCAGCCCAAACAAATTAACTAGCGAGCTAAATCATGTGGAATTAAACTGAACGAGGCTTCTGTCTGCAGCAGCAAAGCGGCCCTTTGTTGGCATCGGGTTTTTTTCCATTACGTGAGCAGCTGTAAACATCCTTGCGGGCGTCTGACAATAGGTTTAAGTGCTGTTTGTGGCCACAAGGCAGCAGCAACGCCCAGGGCTGTGCAGTTGAAATTCGCATCTGATCCGCACCGCCGTTCCATAGGGGGCATTGTTAGCGGGAGCAGAAGCTGCCAAGGGGTGGGGTTTCAGTAGCACCCAGAGGCCCCATAGTGCCAGGCACTGCCCAGGCACAGGGTAAAAGCCTCTGCCCCAAAGATCTTCCAGGCTAACGAGACCAGAGAAGGTTGACTGGCCCCGTTTCACAGATGGGCAGTGGAGGCAAAGTGACATGGCCAAGGTCAAACAGAAAGTTGGTGTCAGAGCTGGGAACTGAACCCTGAGTTCCCGAGTCCCTGCCACAAGGCCGGTCTCCCTGGTTAAGGGCGCGTATGTGGCTAGTTTGCTGGAGCCGTTGCCGATCAGAGTGTATTTATTGGGTATTAGAACTTGGATGCGTTATCGGTTTCAGGAGAATTATCCTGCCAGGACCCAGCGCTTCCCTGCGCTCCCTTTCCACCCCTGCTACAGTAAATATGCGGGGGCGTGGCTAGCGTAATGCAAACGGCCTGGAGCTTCGTTAATTGCCAGACCTGCTGCCCGATCTGTCTTTTGGATCTTTGCTTCCCAGTCAGATTTGGGCACGGCTCCCCTCTCCCTTCAGGGGTCTGCGGCAGGGGAGCAGGGGGAGCCGTCTGTGAATCGCAGCTGGTGGCACCGTTTAATCCCATGAATCATGGCCAGCCTGACCATTTCTCAGTTAATCAGTACAAGAAAAGGTCATTGCAATACAGTCGCCCGCCCGTGGGACCGTGTCGCCCCCTGTGTCAGATGGGGCTGACGAGACCTCCTTTGTAAAGGTGCTTTGAGAGCGACTGATGAAAAGCACGGTGTTAGAGCGAGGGGCTGTTGTTACATCATTTTCGCCTGACTTTAGCAGGCAGGTTCAGCGCAGGCTTCCCCTGCCCTGTGCTGTCAGTGCACCTTAATACCGATTTATTGCCTCGCCTTCTGGCTCTGCAGCTAGGCAGAGCACTTCTGCAGGGCAATCCAGCCATGCCCCCCTCTTGGGAGTGGGGTGGGGGAGGGTTGGGGGGGGAGTGTGACTTGGACAGAGGTCTGCCGGAGCCACTGTGTTCGTTGCAATTTACATGAAAAGTCTATTTTGCAGGGAGTGCCAGGAGCCGGTGCAGATTGGTGTCAGGGGGGTGGCGGTTGGCTGCAGCCCCCCAAAACCTCCGCTCCTGCTTTGGCGGCTCATTTGCCGCTTCACTTGCCTGCTCTTCCCTTAGAAGTGAAGTGAAACAGGCGTGACTCCTCTCCCCCCGGGGTCCCCACCCAGCACACCCATGGCAGCCTCCAGGGGAGGAGCTGGCATTTCACGGTCTTCATGGAGAGCAAGGCGCTGGCGAGGCCAGGTCATCTGGCAGCGCCTGGCACGCTGAGCAGATCTGTCTGGACAAAGGGATGCCCGGGGCAAGGCATTATGGGAGACCAGAGCAGTAGCTTTGGGCCAGAGGCTGGTTTGTCACACCAGCACGAAGACATTTGCCCCCCCAGATTTCCCCCGGCCCCCTGAAAACTCTCTTCTGCCAGCAAACCTGCAAGAGACTGGACACCGGTTCGGTTGCTGGGAGTGCTGGCAATCGTTACAAGTTGGACCCGAGACCAGAATCGGGGGAGCTACACCCCCAGGAAGGTGTTGGAGGAGAAAGTGTCTGGAAAATAGAGAGGCCCCGCTGGGTGTTCTGTGTAACACACGAGGCCTGGACATTTAACTGGCTATCAGGACTAGCCCGAGTTCTCACAACGAGTGCAGAAAGGCTATTAAACCTCATGCAAACCAGGACCTACTGTGGGGGCAGATCCTGCCCCGTCTGCTACTGCCATGTTCTTCTCCCCCTGGGGCTGCTCTGGTCAGAGACGGGACCGTGAGCCAGATGGAGCCGAGGGTCCGTGCCCGTCTGGCCATGCCTGCGCTATTTGCTCAGCGCTACGCTAGGTAAATGGGCAGTGGATGGGGTCCGGTCTCACTCATGTGGAGCCAGCCCCGCGAGGCAGGGATCGCCCCAGCCTGTTGCACGAGAAGGGATCTTTTGTAGCTTCTCCCTCCCTGCAGCTCGGATCCTGGCTGCTGCTCATCAGAAGCCCTTAATAACATTAGCCTGGCCTGTTCTTATTGCTATCAGCTGATAGCTGCCTGATTCTTCTGCTGGGCGGGAGGGGGCCGGAGGAGTGGGGCGGGGGCGGTTCCCTGAGCGAACGGACCAGGAGCGCGCTTGTGGTGAGCCGCGGAGTGGAGGGGACGGGGGAGCTCAGACCTAGAGGCAGAATGACTGAGCGCGGGGCCTGTTCCAGCCTCACACCCTTCCAGTAACCCCACCGCAGTGACCTAGCTCTGCAGTGGGCTGCAGCTCGGATTCGCTGCCCCGGTGGGGGGATTGCTTGGGAAGGTCTCGGGGCAGAGGAGCGGCCATGCCTTGGAGGCGGATTAGCAGGAGCTTCACCTGGTCCAAGGTAAATCCGTGGGCCAAGGGGGGAAGGGGCCGAGGCGGTGGTGGGAGGGGAGAGAGGGCTGCGGGTCCACGCTGCTCGGCTTTGCCCTGGGGTTTACGCACCCCAAGATGGGGTTGGAAATGGGCTTGTCGCCTCCCCAGTGGTGAAAGATGGAGTAGGAGGGCCAGGGGGTGTACATCACTGTGGCGATGGAGCGGGAGATGCTCTGACAGGCCCTGGCCATCAGCGCAAGAGATTTCCCGGGGGCTGTCCGGTCTCATTTGCTTAATGGAAGGGTACAGAGCGGGCAGCAGGCAAAGGCTGCTGCTGACCTGCTTCGAGGCCATGTGATTCCTCTCTCCGAACGTGCCCAGCCTGGCCCGATCTCAGAGGCACGTCGGTTCTAGCCCCGCGGGGGGGGTGTGGTCCGGCGGTTAGCACTGCGGACTGGTGCTCCTGGCTCCTGGGTCCATTTGCACCCCTCGCTGATTCCTGCTTGGGCTCCTAGGATGCCCTCATGCCAGCTGGGAGCAGCAGGGACTGAGATGGGCCACGGGAGCGAACTGCACATGCTGGAGGGGAACTGGCGTGGTGCGCGTCCCGTGCTGGAGGCCACTGGGCGGCGTGGGCAAGGATCCCGGCATGAGTGTGATTCCCCGGTGCAGGGGGCTTTGTCTGTCCGATCGTGCCCGATATACTGACCCCTGCTGCCCTGAGGACAGCCTGGGGCAGGAGGGCAAAGGCCAGTCGTGGCTCCAGGCACCCCGGAAGCCTGCAGTCCAGTGCCTCTCTGCTTCTGGAAGCGTGGTGTTGCTCTCACTGTCTGTCTGTTTTTGGGCAGAGGAGGAGGGGGGGCAGGGGTCACCATCGGAAGCCTCAAAGGGGATGCCCACACTGCGAAGACAAAGCCGCGGTGCTGACGGACCCAGAGGCTCGGTGCTGCAGGTTTTTCTTTGCCGTGTGGACGTCCCCGACGGGGAGCGAGCCAGGTGTTTGGGAGGTAGGACCGCCCGGTGTCTGCTCAGCCCCCTCGTGCCCTGCAGGAGGCCGTGCCGAAATCCAGGTCCATGCCCAGCCCCCTTCTGGGTTCACTGCAGCATTCAAGCAGGCCGTCACGTGGTGGAATCCCAGCGTCCACCCAGCAATGTCCGCCTGACGGCCACGCGCTGCAGTGAGTCCCGTCCACACTGCAGCCAGCAGTCGGACGACCCTTGCTAGCGGGATCTGAGCTAGCAGTGTGGAGGTAGCGGCTCTGGTGGAGCCTCGGTCTAGCCACCCAAGCGCGGACACAGGGAGTCGGGTGGGCCTGAGCTCCAGCCCAAGCTGCAAACAGCCACACTGCTACTTTCAGCACGCCGGCTCCAGCCCTGCTGGCAGGAGCTGTCTCCCCTGCCTGGGAGGCTCGCAGGCAGCTGCAGTGTAGACCCAACCTAAGGCGATGAGTTTGGACTCGGAGGAAGCCCAGCGAGTGGCTTTTTCTCCGCAGCTCGGCCTCATCACTGATTTCCGCAGCAAGCTCCCAGAGGCTGAGATGTCAGGAGCCACATCCGAGAATGGATGCAAACTCCTTGGGCGCGTGGGGCGGCGGGCTCAGGATTAGCGAGCCTGGGCTTGGCTGTCAGTCTGTGTGAAAAAGGCATTTCTCGCGGAGAAAGGTGGAGCTCTCGGCTGTCACTCACGGCGGGTCCTTAGACAGAAGGATCGGGAGCAGAACGGGCTCACGGAGAACACTGAGGGCCTTTTGCTGCGCTGGCTTGACCGGTCTGGCTCACCTTGAAAGGTAACTTTCCCACAACCGGGAGCCGAAGAAGGAGATCGTGGCCGTGATGTTCAGCATTGCCCTACCTGCTGCCCCTGAAGCCCATGGTAAAACTGCCCTGGATGTCTTCGGCCAAACACAAGAGTCCTCTGGAAAACCCCTCCACAGCGTACAGGCCCCGTGGGGGAATGAGCCCTCCATTCCTCAATGACAACTGATCAAACCATTGCAGAGGTGATTTGCAGCGAGCATGACGGGTCTCCTTTGCTCTCGTTTAGGATTATATTTTCCATTGCGGTGGCCCTGGGGATGTGGGGTGGCTGAGGGGTGCCTTTAAAGGGGCAGATCCTCCTGAAAATCTCCCAGCTGGGTGTGCGTGTGTGCAGCCAAGCAGGAACCCCCGCTAAAAACTGTCCTAGGTGGGTCCTAAAGCCCGGCCTGTCCAGTGTGTGGAATAAGGATGGCTCCTTGACCAGACCTAACAAGGGCTTCCCGCTGCGTGTCCTCTTGGGGACTCCCAGTAGGTGGCGCTCTTCTCTCAGAGTCAGTACTGAACGAATGTGCCGGCAGGAGCCCAAACTCCTCCTGCAGTTTCACCCTGGTACAGGATTCATTGTCATTTAGTGTCCTAAGCCGTTGTATGCCGGGCATTTTTTTAAACAGCTGCCACGCTCCACCCCAGAGGCAGCTGCATTTCCGCAGGGGGTGTAGCGACTCTTGGCTCTCTAGGGCTGGAGCCTCAGCTGGTGTCCCCTGGCATAGCTCCGAGAAGGATCCAGCCAAGGAACTGGTCTGCGGTTTGCTCAGCGTTGTGGGGCCCTCCGTGAGGTCAGATTTTACTACTCAAGTAAGATGAGCATTTAAAAGACTTGTCGCTGATGGCTGGAGATCCTAAAACGAATGAGGTGTGAATGCACAGAGGGGTTTTGGAAGCCCCACTCTGTTTTTCAGCTGAGGTCATGAAGTCACCCAACAAACCGGCTGTGGATGAGATTCTTGAGGCTGGGGATCGTGTGTAAATAGACGCTTCCTGCTTTGAGAACTCAAACATTTCCTCTGATGAGCCAAGCCAAGGCAAATGCTGGCTGCTCAGGCAGCCTGGCTTGTTAGGTAGCAAATGTGTCCTGCTGGTGGTATAGACCTGGCCTCTGCTTGGTGGAGACCAGCCCCCCTTCCGGTACAGCACAGGGGCCGGGAGCACACGCACAGACAGTTCTGTGCAACTGGCGTGGCTGAGACCAGAGAAACTCATGACATTAATCGATCCATCTGAGTTTCACTTGGAAATAGATCAGGAAAAAAAGAGGGGAGGTTTTCAATGCCCCTTGCTCTCATCTGGCCCATACATGATAACCGTAGGGCTCTGAGAGATGGACTTAACCCTTTGGAAGCCAGCTGGATCTTAGATACAAGGCACCTGCCAACGGCTGTTTGGGGGCGGGTTGTTGGCCTGCAGGAGGCGCTAGCATGGGTAAGTTTCCTATAGCGATGACCTGGGGAAAGGATGTGCTAGGGCAAGGTCCCATGGCTGGAAAGGCTCAGCAATCTCTTTCCCCCATGTGGCCTCCCTCAGCGCTGACCAGAAGAGAGAATGCAGCTTGGCTGGAGCAGATTTGTTGCCAAGAAGGCCAATGGCATATTGGGCTGCGTTAGTAGGAGCGTTGCCAGCAGATCGAGGGAAGTGATTATTCCCCTCTCTTGGGCACTGGTGAGGCCACATCTGGAGTCTTGCATCCAGTTTTGGGCCCCCCACTACAGAAAGGATGTGGACAAACTGGAGAGAGTCCAGCGGAAGGCAACGAAAATGATTAGGGGGCTGGAGCACATGACTTACGAGGAGAGGACGAGGGAACTGGGCTTGTTTAGTCTGCAGAAGAGAAGAGTAAGGGGGGGATTTGATAGCAGCCTTGGGGGGGAGGGATAGCTCAGGGGTTTGAGCATTGGCGTGCTAAATCCAGGGTTGTGAGTTCAATCCTTGAGGGGGCCATTTAGGGATCTGGGGCAAAAATTGGGGATTGGTCCTGCTTTGAGCAGGGGGTTGGACTAGATGACCTCCTGTGGTCCCTTCCAACCCTGAGATTCTATGATACCTGAAGGGAGGTTCCAAAGAGGATGGATCTAGACTGTTCTCAGTGGTGGCAGATGACAGAAAAAGGAGTAATGGTCGCAAGTCGCAGTGGGGGAGGTCTAGGTTGGATATTAGGAAACTCTATTTCACTGGGAGGGTGGTGAAGCACTGGAATGCGTTACCTAGGGAGGTGGTGGAATCTCCATCCTTAGAGGTTTTTAAGGCCCGGCTTGACAAAGCCCTGGCTGGGATGATTTAGTTGGGGTTGGTCCTGCTTTGAGCAGAGGGTTGGACTCGATGACCTCCTGAGGTCTCTTCCAACCCTAATCTTCTGTGATTTGCAGCAGGAGCAAGGGACGCACTCCCAGGCTGGCTGGGGGTGCTGTGTGGATAGGGAGTGGGAGGGGGTTGGGGCTGCGCTGTGGAGGGGTAAGAGAGGGATCAGGAGTTTGGGGAGGGGTGGGGTACTTTATAGGGTGGGAGGGAAGGTGGAGAAGCAGAGGTGAAGTGTACAGAGTACAGGAAAGGGCTGACAAACAGAGGACAGGTTTTCCTGACCTGGGTAAATTTTGGAGACTTTGAAATTGTTTCCCACCCTAAACTGAACAAAAAGACAAAACCTCTGAATTTTCAAGACCCGACTAGCCCGGCTGCTTGTGATTTGTTACCGGGATGGGGAGGCAGGCGTTAGCTCTGAGATCTGCGTGGTCGGAGACACTGTTCCCCGAGCTGTGAGCCCTGCTGTCTGTTTCCCTCTCTGATGAACCCCCACGATGGTAACTTTGCTTTTCTCTCTCTTTTCTTTAGGAATCCACAAAATCCTCCAAAAGTGCCCAGCCACGAGGCAGACCTTCCAGGTACAACCCCTGTGATTGCCCCCCAGCACCATGCCATGGGCAGAGATTTCTCCCCCGGTGAGGAGAGCTGCCCTGGCCTCATTCTCTCCCCAGCAGTGTGAGATCAGTGTAGACAGGGTTTGTTACTGTTCGATCTACTCAGTCTTGTGTTTAAAATCAGAATCTGGAACTCGGCCTCCTCTTGGGGCCTCCTGCCGTTGGCTGGTGCTGTGGTTTGTGACCATGGCAGCGTGGAAGCCTGAAGTCTGAGGTTATAACCAGGTGCCAGCCTAGGGTATAGCGAAGAATTTCTTCCCCTTGTGCTGGTGGTTCATTAGCTGATTGCACCTCCACAAGTTGGTAATTGACCAGAGCTCTCGCAGGGTGCTAGGGGGCGCTGTGCTGCCTAGGGGGATATCCCAGGATGGGGCGCCCTCCCCTTCGAATGGTTCCTGTGGGACTGAGCTGCAGGAGGGGGACCAGAATTTTCCCAGCAAGACTAAGGCCAGTCCCCACTCCCTTCCTTTGAATGCTCCAGGCTGATCCCCATCTTGGTGTCTCCCCACTGTGTTCTTCAGCCCCTGTCCTGTAGTGCGCTCAGCTCCTTCAGCTTCCAGTGAAGGCAGTGGGAAGGAGGGATGCTCAGTGCCGGGCAGGGTAGGGCCCATTTCTGGAGTCCTTGTGGGCTCACCCATACTTCAGGTACCCCTTTCTTCATCTCCTCTATCTCCTCGGGATTCCTGTGGTCTCCAACTCTCACCCCCTGCTTAGAAACACTGCACGCCCTTGTCAAGGTGTGACCTCTGCATCCTTGCAGGGCAGAGCATTGCTCCCCCAGGCTGGCATAGGCTGCCTTGGCAGCTCTCTCCCTCAGGCTTATCTAGGACCCCACAGTATGTTTGCTTGGCCCGTGGTCGGATGCCAGGAGCGAGAGAGGCCCGTGGAGTGCGTTCCAGCCAGGCTTCACTTGGACTTAATGGATTATTTTTTGTAACCGAGATAAGCTCCCGGAGATATGGAACTGGTTGCCAAGAGGCAACAATAGGAGTATGTAACGAATGGCACTTGGAGATGGGGATGGGCCGGACAAGATGGGGCCTGGGTGAGCACAGGAAGGATCTCTTGACCTGTGGGGCCTTGTAGGGTGCTTGCTACTAACTCCCCACCGGTGTCGGGCTGGGTCTTTGGGAGGGTTAGCTCTGGACACGGTTTCCAGGAGCCGGGCTGGTCCTGCTGCTTCCTGCTATGGTCAGTGGCCATTTGGACAGCTGAACCCAGAGCCATGAGCTGCACCAAGAGCACACGGCTGGGTGCAGAGGCTGGCACGGCAATTGGTCCCGTCTCTGCGCCAAGGCAGCTGGTGGCTAGAGTAGGGCCGGGGCAGCCCCCACACCTGAACTCCATGGCTAGAGCTGCCATGGGAGTCTTGACGTGTCCTCGCTCGAGCCCCTTGACCTCTCCATGTCCATACCTTGCCCTGCCCATCTGTGGATCGGGGATGATAATAATTAGCTCACGGGTCTTAATGACCTACAGCTTGCAACATGCTTTGCAGTCGTCTGGTGAAGGAGGGTGCTGCAGGAATGCCACCTTGTTTGGGTTCCAGATCTCTAGACCTTTGCCCCGCAGGCCTGTAGCGCCCTGCTGGGACCTGAGTTGGCTGCTTCTTGTTGGCCCAGGAGCGTGAGCATGGCCCAGACCACAGAGGACAGCTGCGAGCTGGACCTGGTGTACATCACCGAGCGGATCATCGCTGTCTCGTACCCCAGCTCGGCCGAGGAGCAGAACTTCCGCAGCAACCTCAGGGAGGTGGCCCAGATGCTCAAGTCCAAGCATGGAGATAGCTACCTGGTAAGAGTCACCGCCTCGCTCCCCGTCTGCGGGTGGCCAGTTGGAAGGGCCTGGGGAGGGATGTCGGGAAGGGTGTGGAACTGACTGTGGGAGAGGAAGCTGTAGGGGTGGGGATCCTCAATTCCTGGGATTGCCAGGCCATCCACCTCCCCGCAGCATGGGGAAGGTCCTGGCATCATGTTCCAGAGCCAGACGGGGACTCGGGAATCTCAGGAGGGTGTGAAGTGGAAGCCCAGATTCTGAGATCGATACATTCATGGTCACGAAGGTCCATTAAGAATATAAGAATGGCCATTCTGCATCAGACCAATGGTCCATCTAGCCAGGATCCTGTCTCTGATAGTTGCCGGTGCCAGGTGCTTCAGAGGGAGTGAACAGAACAGGGCAATTAGCGAGTGAGCCATCCCCTGTCATCCAGTCCCAGTGTCTGACAGTCAGAGGTTTAGGGACACCTGGAGCATGGGGTTGTGTCCCTGACCATCTTGGCTACTAGCCACTGATGGGCCTGTCCTCCATGAACTTATCTCATTTTTTTTTAACCCAGTTATGTTTTTGGCCTTCACAACATCCCCTGGCAAGGAGTTCCACAGGTTGTCTGTGCGTTGTGTGAAGAAATACTTCCTTATGATTGTTTAAAACCTGTTAATTTCATTGGGTGACCCCTGGTTCTTGTGTTCTGTGAAGGGGTACATAACGCTGTCCGAGTCACTTTCTCCGCACCCCTCATGGTTTTATGGACCTCCCTCATCTCCCCCCCTTCGTTGTCTCTTTTCCAAGCTGAACAGTCCTGGTCCTTTAAATCGCTCCTCACATGGAAGCTGCTCCATCCCCCCAGTCATTTTTGTTGCCCTTCCAAACCCCACCTTTTCCAATTTGAATGCATCTTTTTTGAGATGGGGCAACCAGAACTGCAGGCAGCATTCACGGTGTGGGCGAACCAGGGATTTAGAGAGTGGCATTTTGATATTTTCTGTCTTATTCTCTATCCCTTTGCTAATGGTTCCTAACATTCAGTTTGCTTTTGTGACGGCTGCTGCACACTGAGTGGATGTTTTCAGAGAACTCTCCACAGTGACTCCAAGATCTCTCTCGGGCGGTAACAGCTAATTTAGACCCCATCATTTATATGTATAGTTGGGACTCTGTTTTCCAACGTGCGTTCGTTTGCATTTACCAGCACTGAATTTCATCTGCCGTTCTGTTGCCCGGCCAGTCAGTTTCATGAGATCCCTTTGTAACTCTTCGCAGTCTGCTTTGGACTTCCCTATCTTGAGTAATTTTGTATCATCTGCCAACTTTGCCGCCTCACTCTTGGCCCCCTTTCCCAGATAATTTATGAGTATGTGGAGCAGCACAGGTCCCAGTGCAGATCCTCGGGGGACCCCGCTATTTGCCTCTTTCCATTGTGAAAACTGAGCTTTCTGATCATCCAGTCCAGGGGGCCTCGGCCTTCTCTCATAGGAGGATCCTGCTCCCGTCCAACTGGGACACGCCTCCCATTTTGCCAGACTATCACATCACCTGTTTGTGAGCCTCCCCCCCCCCATCCCCCCAGGGCTCTGACTCCAGGCTCTCGTCTGAGCTCTGGTTGAGACGCCCAGATCTAATCGGATCTCCTGGGTCACGCCGGCGGTGGCATTGCACCCAGCCATCTGGCTGCTCCGTCATTCTTGCGGTAGTCACTCAGGGTCGTGACTTTAGGCTGCAACAGGTGCCTGTCCGCCTCTGCCCGCCCCACAGAGAGACCCTGGAGCCAGGCATGGGTCCCCACCTCCTCTCTGACACAGGAGCAGAGATTCCCTGTAGCTCCGGGCATCTGGACCTGCTTTCGCCTGGGTCACATCACCGGCTGTGTGACGCCCCGGGCAAGGCAGCCATAACGCTCGCGGCCGCTTTGCTGCGCTCCAGGGGGCCGGTGGCTAGCAGCCTCGCGGTGACTCCCCCACAGCCACGGCTCTGCTGCGGGACAGGCCCAGCCCCGGGGTCCCCACCTGGCGCACAGGGAGCACGAGGGGGCTGTACCGGCCCTGCAGGCTGTGGGGGGAGAGTTTTGTCCCTGAGGGTGCAGTGATATGGGTGCGGAGTCCTGCTCCCAGCCCCAGTAATGAGCGGGGCTCCAGCAGCTCAGTGCTGCTGGTTCAGGGGGGCAGCACGGGTCTCCTGAGTATCCCGGGGCACCGACGAAATCCCCCTGGCTGCCCCTTCTCCGCTGCACCAGAGCCCAGCTCCCTGCCTTGCCTTCTGGCCCTGCGTTATCCCACCCTGCTCTGAGCCGAAGAGCTGCAAGATCTTGCTGCTGTGACTCCATCCTTCTTCCCCTAGCCCCTGCCAAATGTCTGGGGCTGGGCCCGGGTCTGTGCGAGGTGGCCCAGGGCTGTTGCACGCTGTCCCTGGGACTGGGACCAGGTCTGTGCAGGGTGGCCCAGGGCTGTTGCACGCTGTCCCTGGGGCTGGGACCGGGTCTGTGTTGGGTGGCCCAGGGCTGCTGCACGCTGTCCCTGGGACTGGGGCCGGGTCTGTGTGGGGTGGCCCAGGGCTGTTGCACGCTGTCCCTGGGGATGGGGTTGGGTCTGTGCGGGATGGCCCAGGGGATGCTGCACGCTGTCCCTGGGACTGGGTCTGGGTCTGTGTGGGGTGGCCGGGGATACTGCACGCTGTCCCTGGGGATGGGGTCGGGTCTGTGCGGGGTGGCCGGGGATGCTGCACACTGACCCTGGGACTGGTACCGGTCTGTGTGGGGTGGCCGGGGATAGTGCACGCTGTCCCTGGGGATGGGGTTGGGTCTGTGCGGGATGGCCGGGGATGCTGCACGCTGTCCCTGGGACTGGTACCGGTCTGTGTGGGGTGGCCGGGGATACTGCACGCTGTCCCTGGGGATGGGGTTGGGTCTGTGCGGGATGGCCGGGGATGCTGCACGCTGTCCCTGGGACTGGTACCGGTCTGTGTGGGGTGGCCGGGGATACTGCACGCTGTCCCTGGGGATGGGGTCGGGTCTGTGCGGGTGGCCGGGTGCTGCACATACCCTGGGACTGGTACCGGTCTGTGTGGGGTGGCCGGGGATAGTGCACGCTGTCCCTGGGGATGGGGTTGGGTCTGTGCGGGGTGGCCCAGGGCTGTTGCACGCTGTCCCTGGGGCTGTGGCCGGGTCTGTGCGGGGTGGCCCAGGGCTGTTGCACGCTGTCCCTGGGGCTGGGGCTGTGTGTTGTGGCCCAGGGGCGCTGCACTCTGTCCCTGGGGCCGGGTCTGTGCAGTGTGGCCCAGGGGCACCGTCCCTGGGTTTGGGGCCGTCTTTGCTCCACCGTTGCTCTTCTCCTAACTCTTTCCTCTCCTTCTCTCCCAAGCTTTTCAATCTGTCCGAGCGCAGACACGACATCAGCAAGCTGCACTCCAAGGTAAGCTCCGGGCACTATTGTGGGCTGGGGGAGGGGACAAAAGGCCCAGGAGGAGCCGGAGTCGGGGCGGGTCACAAGGCAGGTGTGTTCCCACCCGGAAGCAGTGAGTTTGGCGGGTCCCAGCCCAGCGCCCAGTGGGCCACGTCTCCAGAGCCCCCTCCCGGACAGCCCCGGTGGAGAGGCCAAGGGTCATGGAAATGGAGCACCCCTCTGAGCCCCACAGGGGGTCCTTCAGGGCAGGGGAGGCCCTGGGGCGGAGGGGAGGTGAGACCTGCCCCTTTGTGGTGCCCAGACAGCTCTCTTCCCCCCCCCAGCCCCAGAACCGAAGGGGGGACTGGCAGTGACGAACCCCAGGTCACTGGCGCCCCCGCGGGTGTGTCTGGGGCTGCAGAAGTGCCCAGGAATCCCTGAGCCCTGGCAAGGACCGGCCTCTCCTGGCAGCCCAGCCGAGCCCGCGCCGTCGCGGGTGCAATTCTCTGTGGTGTCTGGGCTCTGGGGGCCGGCCTCAGAGCCATTTTGTCACTCCCCAGCCACGCCCGGGGGCTGCCAGCTGCGATGGGGCCGGCCCTGATCCCAGCGACTCTTTGGAAGCTGGTGGAGTGATTCTGGCTGAGATCAGAGTGGGGCCTGGACGCCAGAGCCCCAGAGTGGGTGGGGGGCTTAGCCGGGAAAGGGGACTCCCGTGAGGACCCGCCAGCGGCGAGAGCGTCCGCGCTGGGACAGGGCTGCTGCCAGCCCTTTGGATCCCCCACTGGCTGAGTGTTCCTTCGCCCCGCGGATGTGTTTTCTTTGTCCGCCAATCCCATCCTGCTCCCGCTGCCTCTGGCGGCCGCACGGGCTGTGCGAGGACTGGGAGCCAGGCGTGCGCCGGGATCTTTCAGCCTGTCCCCCAGCTCCGTTCCCGGGGAGACAGCCGGAGCGCTGCAAGCCCCCTCGGTGTGCCAGGTGGGTAGCACCGGGGCAGCGGGAATGGATAGGCGCGGGGGCTGTCTCCTGGGAGCAAAGAAACCAGCACAGGGCCAGGAGTCCCCTGGGTCTCTGCAGCTGGGTAGCACCAAGGAGGAGGGGAAAGTCGGGTGGGCCGGGGCTCGGGGGTGGGCTCCGGCCCCTTTCACCTCCTGCTTTAGTGGTCCAGGGCTTGTGCCAGTTGAGTCAGTGGCTGGAGGGATGCTGCACATCCCTTGTACCCTGCCTGCCCACCCAGATCGCTGCCTCAGATTGGCTCCCTTTGTGGTCAGTCCGAGCGCGCAGCCGAGGCCGTGGGCTGTCCCTACTCACTGGGCCGAGCGGGAGGCAGAGCCCCCAGCCCTGCCCTTGGGAGAGACCCTGCCCCGCGCCTTACGGGGGCTGGCTCAGGCCCTGGCAGGGTGGGACCCCGGGTTTGTGGGTGGCTCCAGCCTCTGTCCCCTGTGCTGCCAATCAATCAGGGTGGCACACGGCCCCTCCTGTGGTACCATGCCCGTGCCTTGCAGAGGGGACCACCGGAGCAGGGATGCGGGCCAGGCTGGCACTGGGCACAATTAACCCCTTCCCGCCCATGCACCACACAGCCCACCTCCCCCAGGTCCTGGTTCAGCACATCCCATCGCTGTCTTCATGTCCTCCCTCCGTCGCTGTCCCATCTGTGCCCTTTCCCCCAGGCTGATGGGCGGGTAAGGCCAGCCAGCGCAGCATGGGTGAGGCTCTGCCATGGGGCTTGATGGCACCACACCAGAGCTGCCTAATCTCAGCATCGACGGCTCCAGGAAGGGGCAGAGCAACGGGTGGGTGTGCCAGGGAATTGGAGTGCCCGGGGGCTCTCGATAGGGGTTCCTGCGATCCATCCCATAATGAGGTGCCAGTTCCTTTCCATTCTAGGTGTGGTGGAGGGCAGGGCAGGCTGGGGGCCAGGGGCTTGGTTGCTTTGGCCCCACTGCTTAGCCCAGGGTCTTGGGCAGCTGGCATGGTGCCCTCCCATTCCTGCTGGGTACCAGGTGTGGGCAAGGCTCCCTTGTGGAGATACCTCAAGGCGGAGGCCTGTTCTGCCCCTGGAAGGGAATCACCTGCATCTCTCAACCAGCGGCCCCGTGAGTGGGTCCGCACACCGTGGGTCCCACCCGGGGCAGGTTACCCGGCGGGCGGCAGCGCCCGTGAGGCCAGGCTGGCGTGAGGAGCCCTGGGCATCTACGGCAACCGGTAACCAAAAGCCCCAGAGGGAGCCTTCGTCTCATCCAGCCTCCTCCTCCTCCCTCCGTCTCTGCCCATCCCAGGTGCTGGATTTTGGGTGGCCCGACCTGCACACGCCTGCCCTGGAGAAGATCTGCAGCGTCTGCAAGGCCATGGACACGTGGCTGAGCGCCGAGCCCCACAACGTGGTCGTCCTCCACAACAAGGTGAGCGAGAGCGCCCCCCGGGGGGGCAGGGCCTGTTCGCCAGTGGCCTGGACCGAGCGGCCCCGCTCGCGGTGGGGAGAGAAAAGCAGGGGGGTGCTGTCTCAGGGGGCAGGGCACAGGGACACAGGGGAGGGGGAGTAGGGCTTGCGGGGAGACGGGGAGCAGCTTGGAACACTTCCCGGAGGGGCTGAACGAGGGACAAGGGGTGAGATGGGGCGCAGGGGCAGGTCTGTGGCCCGGTGACATCTCGGACTCAAAGGAAAGAGCGCTGCGGCCAGCCCTGTGCCCCCCTGGCAAGCCCCACCCAGCCTTCAGTGCCAGCAGCGACCGTGTCACCCCCGGCGGCTTTCCCAGCTCCAGCACTGGGCGCTCTCCCAGCCGGCAGCCGGGCTGAATGGAGCCCGGCCCTACACGGGGCTGGTAACTAGCCCATCTGTGCTTTACTGAGAGGGTGGGGAAGACCCCGAGGAGCAGGTGTTTGTAGATGCTCCCTTAAGAGCTCTCAGCGACCCCTGGGACCTATGTCTGAGTCAGTGCCCAGTGCGACGAGCTAGAAACTCCTGGGTTCGTTGGGTCCTTGGGGTCAGACCGTGCCATGGTCACCTCCTGTGTCATATCCTACCCCACCCCCTTGTGCAGCCTGGAGTGTGCTGGCTGCCTTTGAGCCACCCCAGAGGTGGCTGCAGTTCAGCGGTCCTGGCAAGGTGCTTTGGGAGGAGAGAGGTACAGACGAGATCCTACAGACAGGGAAATTTAACCCACAACTTTCTACTCACCACTGAAATGCAGCCACCTCTGGCTCCCAGCTGTTCCTCCTGCCTCTGGCGCAGCTTGTCACCTCAGCTGTCCCGCAGGGAGGGGGCCCAGCCGCACCATGTGACCGAGCAATCTGGGGGAGGCGTGCGACCCTGCATGCCCGCCCCCCCACTCGTCACCTCTGGCCTGGTAGATAGGGGAGTGAGGGGACATGCACACAGTCAGGCATGACAACACACTCCGTGTGCGTGATACATAATTAGAAACACAATAGCTTCCAAATCCAGACACAGCAGTTCCCTTCTGTTAAAAGCTTCTGTAGTGGGTTATTCATCTGGCTGGCCAAATACAAGATCCCAGTACGGATGTCTCGGATTCCTCTCGCACCTCCCTTCCCTAGCGGATCGCTCTGGGCGGTGCAGGCTGGAAATATTGTGAACATTTTGCTGGCTGCTGCAATGCAGCCACCTCTGGGGTGGAACGTGGCGGCGGGTTACCAGCGCCCAGCAATGCAGCGCGGCACTCGGGGCCCGGTCTAAAGCCTGTTGAAGTCAAGGGGAGGACCCTGCCGCTGGCTGGCGGACTCTGGGATGTCTCTGGTTGCCCCCTGGGGTGCCCAACGCCCTCTTTGTTCTGGTCTTTTGCAGGGAAACCGAGGCCGGATGGGAGTCGTGGTTGCTGCCTACATGCACTACAGCAACATTTCAGCCAGGTGAGAGGAGCCTGGCGTGCGTGGGTGTGGGGCACCTGGAGCAGCACCCCCGGCGTCTCCTCTGGACCCTCTTCCCACAGCCTAAGTGCCCCCCAGGAGATAACCAGCCCGGGGACCCGCCTTTCAGAGCCCGGTTCAGGAGGACGCTGCTTCTCTTCAGCGTCCTCCCGCTTCCCAGCCGCGGTAATGGTGCCTTTGGCCCAGCCCCCCATTCTGGGCTGGGCTCTGGGCCCTGGTGCCCACCCCTTCTTCTGCCTGGGGGGACCATTGGCAGCTTCTCGGCTCCTGGCATCTCCCTGGCCCGGCTCAGGGGGGACCATCCGCCCGAACCAGCCACCTGGGAGGGCAGCAGGCGGGGCAGACACAGAGGGAGGAGAAGAAGAGACCACCTCCTGGGGGGCAGGGACGTGGGGGCCTGCAAATGAGATATGGGGCCCTTTGCCTCCAGGGTAGCACTTCAAACCCAGCCCGGTCAGCTGCTGGGTGAGAGGAGAACAGGGTCCCTCACCCACAGCTGTCCCCAGCGCCCTGGGTTGGCAGCAGGGAAAGGTGGCCAAGGACTGACAGGACCAGGGTGGCTCCTCTGGTTGGGGGTAGAATGTGGGGGGTCGGGGGATGCCCCTGCCCCTATGCTAGAGGACTGCAGCCTGCAGGGTTCCTGGGGCCGGGCATCGTGGACTGGGTCTCCGCCCGCCCGGCTCAGGCTGCAGTGGGAATTTCAGGTCTGTGTCCATCCAGCCAGCTCCGGTTTGTGTCCGTAAATCCGGGGGGCGAGTGGGAGCCGCCTCCCTGAGCTGGGGTATCCGGTGTAGCCCTGTGGAGACAGCGTCCGGGACCCAGGCAGCGTGTGTTGGGGGCGAGCTCTGGAGTGTGGGGCTGACTGGGAGGGGGAGAGGCGAACTGGGCAAACATCCTCCTCCCGCCCCACAATGCTGCCGGGGCACCTCAGCCCTGACCCACAGCACCCCCTGCTCGTCCGGGCCTGGGGTGCCCCTCAGTCCCGACCTGCCCTGGCGTCTCCCCCAGCTCTGCTGGGGCCTCTCAATCCTGACCCACAGCCCCCTGCTACTCCAGTCCTGGTTTCCCCTCCTCCACAGCTCTGCCAGGGCCCCTCAGTGCCAACCCGCAGCCCCCTGCTACCCCAGCCCTGGGCTCCCCCCAACAGTTCTGCCGATGCCCCTCACTCCCGACCCCGCAGCCCCCTGCTAGCCCAGGGCTCTCCACCCCTGGCCCCCAAACAAGCCCCAAGGGACGTTTCCCCGGGTCAGATAAAACCCGAAAGGCCTCGAAATAGTCCCAGTGAGCTCTCCGGCACCTCCTGTTTATAAACGTGTCGGGCGGAGACCGAGCCCCCTTGCCACGCCCTCCCGCGCACTGGGCCTTATTGCCGCCCGCCTTGCGTGCAGCCCGGAGCCCACCCCACCCCTCTGACCGCGTGCACCTTCCCCCCGCAGCGCGGACCAAGCCCTCGACAGGTTTGCCATGAAGAGGTTCTACGAGGACAAGGTGCTGCCGGTCGGGCAGCCGTCGCAGAAGAGGTCAGTCCTGCGGCGCCTCCCTCCCTGGCGGCCCGAGCTGTGAGCACTGGCCCGGGCCCCTCCTGTGGTGATGGAATTAAAGGTGGTGACTGAGCCGGTGTTTGATCGGGCATGTGGTGCCTGGACATGGTGTGCGCGGGGCATGGATTCAGGTGGGAAAAGATGCCCCTTGGTGGCAGGACTTGGTGTGCCTGGTGTGTGGTGCATCAAATTGGGAGGGGGAGAGGCCCTCCAGCAGAGGTAGCTGGGTAAACTCTGGCCCCCCTATGCAGGTTAGAGGGCTGGAAAGCAGGAGCAGGATGCCTGGCCTAGATCCAGAAACTGGGTCCCTTCTGGCTCTGAATCTGATCCAGACCCAGATCATAGGCATGGGTTTGGACGCAGGGGCTTGATGCATGGCGGGTTGGGTTTGAGATTCTGGGTCGGCTCTGTCCTTGCTTTAAAGGAAAATATCAAGACCCCAACCGAGAGCGAGGAGCTGAGGCAGTGCGTGTGGGGGGCTGGCCCTTTGTACCCTGGCTCCTGCACTCAGCCAGGATCTCAGGGTGGGGCTTTGCGTTCCCACAGCCGCGGTGCCCAGGGGAAACTCTCCTGACACGGGCTTGGGGACGAGCCTCCTGCGGACCAGCCTGGCCTGCCAAGCACCCTCTGCGTGCCCCTTGCTCTGCCAGAAGCCTTGGCAGATTAACGGTGCTGAGCCGAGTTCTGGATTTGTTCAGCTGACTCCCCAACCCAGAGGAACCTGGGAGAATGAATGCCCCACCTGCGGGCAAGTCTACAGCCCCTACAGGGACAGACACACAGACAACAGGCGGCTGCAGGGCAATGTGCGAGCAGCCAGCCCAGGACCCGTCCGGGCTGTTGGGAACTGAAGGTGCCTCCCAGGGAAGGGGATTTGCCTTGCACTGCAAATCAAGCTTTTTCACTGAGCTTTGATGCCCACGGCTCTCAGTGACCTGCACCAGGCCGACAGATGCACCAGGCCGGGCTCAACAGGCTGCAACCCGGCATCCACTTAGCAGGATAAACGCAGTAAAATGCTTCCTTTCTCCAAGCAGCATTTGTGCCACCTGTAATTGCCCAGCTCTGGGTATGGGGCATGTGCGTGTCTCAAGTTATCTGCAGGGCACTATCCATATAAAGGCACACAGGGGCTGGGTCAGATCCCGGACGTCGGTGCAGTTCGAGTGACCTCCCTCGCGCTGGGTCTGTTTGCATCAGCTCGGGATCGGGCCCCATCTACCAAGTGGGTGTTGGGCTCTGTCAGTGGCTGCTGCTGGTCGCGGGTTTTCTGGGCAGCGCCCTGTCAGGTCGGCCCATGGCATTGTTCCTGCCAACATCTGGCCGGCGCGATCGGGGACTCGGTAATGGCCCCGTAACTTCCACTTCCCGTGCGTGTCACGGGTGCTTCAATAGAGGAGCAGGCTGCCCATCAGATTACACGGGCCCAGCTGCTGGTTACAGCCACAGGGCCAGCTCTGCCACCCGCCCCGCGTACTCCTTGCTTCTCCCTTGAACCAAGTAGGGACCAGGCACTGCCTGGTTGTCTCAGACAGGGCATGGCGCCAGCTGCTTCAGAGCGTGGGGTGCGACACCCCCTAGTGGACAATTATGGGACAACCCATGAGGGAATTGCCCTTCGAACTGCCCTCTTGGGTGCACCCTGGCCCATGCTGACACAGAAGCCTGGGCCAAGAGGCACTGCCCTCTCCTGTCCTGAAAGGGACCTGGCTGGTATCGAAGTGACAAGAGCCCTCTTGGCATATGGGGTGCAGGTCAGATGAATGGGGCAGTGCTCCACCCGGGCCCCCCTGTTGCGGGGAAGGAGCCTGCAGAACTCCCAGGTATCAAGCGTGCGTTCCCCTCTGCTCCACTAGGGGGCACTAGAGGCCTCCCGCTGTCCATGCCGCTGTCCCAGTTTATCCCTTCCGGGCGCTGGAGCTGCTGAATGGCAGCCGGGGGGGAGATTTTCCTGGTGCTGCAGGGGGATCCGTAGAGATTTCGAGCCCGTCTCCTCTCCCATCGCTGCCTCTGCCTCCAGCTCTGCTCCCCTGGGCTTTCCCTCGCTCTCATGCCCCCGCACCCTGGCCTGGAAACCAGGGCAGCCCACGGGCAGGTGTGAACACGGCTCGGAATCCAGATCGCTCTGGCTGGTGGGAGAAATCCAACCCCAGCTCAACACCTTGGGATCCGCGCAGGGCAAACGCCAGTGCCTGGGGGCCCAGAACACCCAGCGGCTCACTGGGGCCGGGGGTTTGATTTAGGAGCGGTTTGGGTGGAGGGCCCACGTCCTCAGAGGGATAAGGTGAAAACAACAAGAGTCTGGTGCCTACATCTTTGAGCATCTGGGCTGAGATCTTCTGTGGGGGAAGCTTACCTTGCAGTTTGAAAGCTTGTGGGTTTCACTGTTTTCTCTCTCTCTCTATTTCTGCATGCCCATCCTGGCACTCTTAGTTGAGCCTTCTAAGGTAGATCAGTTCTTCCCCAGTTTGGATTACTGTGTCAGTCATTTGCTGGCCCCACTCCCGGAACCACTGTTAGAACAGGACCTCGTTAGGTTTATCACATCTCTTGGGACTTCTGAGCCAAACGCATGTGCGTATCTAGTGTGAGCTCTGTGTGAGGAAAGGAGTTCTGCTCAGCGAGCTTACCTGGGCCCAATAACATACCCCAGCAAGCCTGCACCGTCTCCCAGGTTAGCTGGTCTGTGCGTACACAGATCAACCACAGCAGGTGATGCTGACGTGGCAAGTCAAGTTTGGATCCTATTGGAGGCCTGGAGGAGATGATCCGCTCAGTGGACTAAGGCCCAGCTTTGAACAGCTAACGGTCTCGAAGGAGTTCTCTTTTGGCCAGTCAGACATTCCAGATCAGGCTGTTCCACTTTGGAGAATTCAGTGGGGACGCATGGTCCCACCAGCCAACAGCCTTGTGCTTTGTCAGTGTTGGGTAGGTCATGAGGGCCAGGTGGACTGGGGGTGACCAGAACCGCACACAGCATTCGAGGTGGTGATGTACCATGGATTTAGACAGAAGATATCATCATGCCACTATCTTATTATGAGAGGGGTAGCCGTGTTAGTCTGTATCCACAAAAACGACGAGGAGTCCAGTGGCACCTTAAAGACTAACAGGTTTATTTGGGCATAAGCTTTCGGGGGTAAAAGCCCCACTTCTTCAGATGCATGGAGTGAAAATTACAGTGCATATTCGTAAATGATCTGGAGAAAGGGGTAAATAGTGAAGTGGCAAAGTTTGCAGATGATACAAAACTACTTAAGATAGTTAAGTCCAAAGCTGACTGTGAAGAGTTACAAAGGGAATCTCACAACACTGCATGAGTGGGCAAGAAAATGGCAGATGAAATTCAGTGATGATAAATGTAAAGTAACGAATACTGGGAAAACATAATCCCAGCGATACATACAAAATGATGGGGTCTAAATTGGCTGAAAGATCTTGGAGCCATTGTGGATGATTCTCTGAAAACATCCACTCAATCTGCAGCGACAGTCAAAAACGTGAACAGAATGTCAGGAACCATCAGGAATGGGATAGATAATAAGATAGATGCAGGCATACAGTCAAGTTCTAGGCTGGGGCCGATACCAAGGATCAGAGTCCGAGTCAGGTTACAGGGTCCGGGTCAGGAGGCGAGGTCCAAATCAAGGTGAGATCAAAGCCAGGAGTTCAAGAACAGGGAGTAGGAATGATGGTGACAGCTACAGGAGAGGCGCGCTGTTGTCTGGAAGCTTCCTGGAATGCTCCCTGGGTTTATTTATATAGGGGAGGAAGCCAATCAGGAGCCATGAGGCTGCTGCCTGTCAGACCCCTTGAGGTGGGACTTCCTCTGGTCTGTGTCCTCTGGGTTGTGGGTAGTGTAACATGAGCTGGTTATAGCTTCCCCTTGGCTGGAAGCATGGCGGTGCCTGCCGCTTGGCAGCTTTGAAGGCCCAGGTTTGAGACCCCTTGGGCCTTCTAGCCAGTCCTGAAACCCTCCTCCCTGGCTGTGAAGTTTCTGGCCACCCTGTTTCTGCTCAGTCGGTGCCTTTGAGTCTCAGATGAGCCTGGATCCCATGGTGTCAGCTGCCAGGGTGTCTCCTTTGGAGCAAAGGATTCTGGGGCACATTGGAACAGCTTCCAGTGCAGGCAACTGAGCCGAAGGGTCGGTTTACAGGCGGAAAGGGCTACTGAGCGGGGTATCCGGGTGGAAGGAAAGAAGCAGAGGGAATAGGGGGCAGGTGCCCAGCCCCCTTCTGCAGTGGGGAGACCAAAGCAGCTTGAACAGGCCTGCACAGACACCACTAACCTCCCAAACCCACGCTGGTTTCCGCCCCAGGTATGTCCATTACTTCAGCGGCCTGCTGTCTGGCACCATCAAAATGAACAACAAGCCCTTGTTCCTGCACCATGTCATCATGCACGGGATCCCCAACTTCGAGTCCAAAGGCGGTAAGTGTCCCCCCGGCTCCGGCACGGGAGGGCTGTTGGCTGCCCCCCAGCGTGACTCTACTTTCCAGGGGCACAGAACCTGCATGAGGGGTAGGGGGCATGGGGTGGGTAGGGTATATGCAAGCGAGACCGGAGGCTGCGTGGGCTCCAGGGTGCCAGGGGCTGCCGTGTGTAGCTTCCTGCCGGTCACTATCAATGCCTTGTTGACAGGATGAGTTTGGGCCTCAGCCGTCTCTCCCCTCGCTAGGCAGGGTGACCGCTTTTCAAAAGGCTAAAGCGGGACGGGACGCATGCAGGAGCCTCACCCCTGCCCCTCCTTTCCCCCCAAAGGCTCTGCCCCCTGGCCAGGCCAGAAGCTGGAGCCGGGCCATGGTAAGCGCTGCCCAAGAAGCCCAGGCCTCTGCGGGGAGCCCCGACGTCTCCACCTGCCCTGGTGGGCATCTGGGTTGCCCGAGAGCAGCCCCGGCCTGTGTCCTGGCCCCCTGGGGCACGCCACCCAGAGCAGGTGGAGGGAAGGGCAATCACCCTGTCGCTAGCCACTGTGCAGCTCTGTGGTGGGAGCCCTAGTGTAGACAGAGCATCTTTGCCAACGGCTCATGGCCATTTCCAATGGATTCCAGAATGGAGCTGCAGTTGGGCTTATTGTGGGAACTCAGCGGTGGCCCTAACTCCGGGGGATTGCTGGCACCCCGACACACAGCCGTTAAGCAGGGGGGTTGCCATCCTCCAGTCACCAGCCCGGAAGCTGCATGGGCTCCCCTCTGTTGTCATCAGCAGGGCCTGGCTCACCCCTGGCTGGTGCACTGAGTTCTCTCCAGTGCTAGTTGTTAAGGACTCTGGACCCCAAGGGCTGTGATTGGGCCGGGGCAGCCTGCCATGTCTCACTGCGGTCTGTCAGTAGGAAGGGCGGACAACGTGTAGGGGCCTCTCTGCTCCCACCTCCACGTCTCTGGGCCGTCTGTTGTCCAGGCCTGGGGAAGGTGCTGCGAGAAGCAGGCAGGCTAGGGAAAGGTCCCCAGCACCCTGTCCCACTCCACCTGGCTGGGCTGTTTGTTTTCCTTCCTGGTGACTAATCCCCTTGGCTAATGAATGCTCCTTCTCTCCATTTCTGATCGGTGTCTTCTAGGTTGCCGGCCCTTCCTGAAGATCTACCAGGCCATGCAGCCAGTGTACACATCTGGGATCTAGTAAATATCAGCTCTCTCTTGGGTTCCTCTCTCTGCCTAGAGGCCCTTACTTCCAGTCCCTGTGACTGTCTCCTGCCCGAGAGATGGTCCCGGTGACCCAATGGGCCTTCTGCATCTCCGACGAGCTCGGGTGTTGGTGTGAAACATGGCTGGGTCCTGTAAGGGAAGGGGAGAGCTTGGGGTTGAAACAAGCTGCACTTTGCGCTTATGGTTAATGTTGGCTGGGGTGGGGGGAGATTTTTCTAGGGGTCCCAAATCCGCCATTGTCCCCCCGAGCCCCGCTGCAGACACATGCTGTGTAGACTCACCCCCGACACGCGCCTGACTTGCTCCGAAGAATCCCGGCGGCATGGGCGGATCAGCGCATCTGACCTAAAAACTACCCTCCCCTTCCGGTATGCTTGGAGACGCCCTTCAGTTCTCCACGTGCCCAGTCCCCAGGGACTGCCACTGCCTGGGCTCTGCTGGAGGAGTCCCGCCGATCGTTTTGTGATGCCTTTTCTGCACAGGCCTTTCCGTAGCCCTCTTCCTCGCCCACCCTCCCTGGTGCAGGGATGCAGCCGTCAGCCAGTGCACCCGGACCTTTGAGCAGCTCAGCAGCCGTCTGGCTGGGAGGGCGGGGGACCCTTACTTCCTTAGCAGGAATGGAGCTCTTACTCTGCTGCCCAGAGAGCAGGGGCACATGCTTTCTCCTCCGGCCGCGAGAGCTGCACTCCAGCTTGTCCTTTGACATATCACCTCGTGGGAAGTTTCCTGGCTGGCTCCAGAGCCCAGGTGACGGGCAGCCCCTGTCTCAGGGCGTGCGAGCGAGGCGCAGTTGAATGGGAGACAGACGATGCGCTCAGGGGGAAGTTCTCTCCCACGCAGCCAAGCAGCGCAAGGCCCTGAGGGCTCAATGGGGGACTTTGATGGTGCCCAGCCTGCACGCTGGCGGATCCTGCCCTAAGGGAGAGAGGGGAAGCCCAGGACAGTGGTCGCAAGGACAGCTGCAGTGCTGGGACACGGGACAGTGGCTGGGAAGCAGGGATGTAGCATTGTTTGTGCTCATCGGGGATCCCAAAGCACTTTGTGCATCTCCCAACCACTTGGGCTGAGGAATGGGGCTGGGAGTGTCACGAACGGGCTCTCTCATGGCATCTCCCGCCCCATATTTCGGGGCTTCCCCCGCCCAGGAAAGCGGATGTGGGCAGGAGTGGGTGGGGGGAAGCTCAAGCACAGAATGGCACCCACCAGCTACCTCCAGCCACTCAACGACACATCGAGGCTGGGGCAAAGGTTGGGGTCAGCTCCCAGACAGGCTTCCCCAGCCCCACCTTCCAACTCTCCCCGCATTGAGCTGTCTTGCCTGGCACCCGCCTGGCTCCGGTGCTGATGTGTGCAGTGGGGAGCAGACAGTTTGGCTTCCATGTGCTAATTTGAAGCTAGAGCCCTGGGCAGTGGGGTGGGGTGGGGTGTATGTGCCCTGGTGGACACACTGGGTATGTCTACACTGCACTCCAACCCCGGGCTCTGACTCAGGTTTGAACCCAAGCCCCCTTCCGTCCACACGCAGATCCGTCTGACTCAGGTCGGCAAGCACCGAGGACCTGGGTCTTAGGACCCTGCTAGGGGGGTGCGTCACGGTGTGAGTCCTGCTGCGACTTGGGTCCAGTCGCTGTCATTTTGCAGTGTGGACACAGCTCAAGCTGCAGACCTGAGTCAGAAGGCCTGTGTAGTGCGGTATGGACGCGTTAGCCCGGCTGTGAGACCTGGGGCCAGCAGTTGTAAATCCAGGTTTACAAGGCAGTGTGGACACTCACATGCAGGCATTGGAACCACCGAGTCCACAATTCCGAGTCCCCTAGGCGCGGGTTTGCAAAGCAGTGTAGACAAGGCCTCTGTGAACACCGTCACAGACAAGGGTGCGTGGAAAAACGCTTGTCTCTTTTCTTTTTCTTCCCTTGTCCCCTTGGCCTGTCTGACTGCACCCCTCTTCTCCCTAATATGTGACCTGCCCATACAGGACACGCCTGTTTCTAACCAGGCCTGATGCCATCTCTTCAATGAAATTTACTACAGGCCCACTCGTACCTTTCAGCTTTTAATAGCCCGTCTATGGGAAGCTGTTAATAAACCCCAAGTTTATCTCACCCGTGAAAGCTGAGCCCCAAGGCCAGCGAGTGACGAAACCACTTGGATTAACCCTCCTGGACCATTACATCCACTGGGCTGGGGGCGGGGAGGGCAAGTGAGGAAGTTGCTGGAGGTGGAAGTGACAGGCCCAGAGCCCCATAGACAGTTAGGGGCAGAGCTGTGGGGTGCTATGTACCCTGGGTCGTATCCTGCTCGAACCTCTAGACTAAGGAGTCGTCTGGTGTCCCAGTCGGGCACTGCTCCTGTATAAATGTTGATCGTTGGGTCAGGGCCCACTGGGAGAGACGGGGATGCAGTTTTGCTGCTTCTCTTTGGTTTTCCTGGGACGCTGTCGAATAGTTTAGACCCCAGCAGCGACCAACTGTATATTATAATCAGCTGTCAAACGTGCTCCAGACTCTAAAGATCGGCTTTAAAAAGGGCTGCAAAATGGCAAATCCAATAGGTAGTCGCAAAAAGAAAAGGAGGACTTGTGGCACCTTAGAGACTAACCAATTTATTTGAGCATGAGCTTTCGTGAGCTACAGCTCACTTCATCAGATGTATACCGTGGAAACTGCAGCAGACTTCCAAATAAATTGGTTAGTCTCTAAGGTGCTACAAGTCCTCCTTTTCTTTTTGCGAATACAGACTAACACGGCTGTTCCTCTGAAACCAATAGGTAGTGTTTTTCGTAGGACCTATACAAAAACAACGGCTGTCAGTGACATGATACTTGTGAGCTCCCCCTACTGGCTGGGCTGACACGGTCAGCAAGGCTGGCGTGCCGATGGGGCACGTGAACAACCACAGCTGGGCTGATTTTACGCCCCGTTCCCAGCTCAGAACTGCAGGGATTCCCCTGGGACTGTGGGAGCTGAGTGACTAGCTCAGAGAAATTCCTGCTGGCCCGAGCCGGCTGCGCTAGGAGCTGCTACTCTCAGCCCCCATTGTGAGCGTCCGGGTGAACAAGGCCCCGCCTCACTGGCCCCCCAGGCAAGTCCTCCCCCAGGCTCCAAACCGGCATTGGGGTTGCCATGGCTTTTTCTCCACCGTCCCCTTTTGTTTTGGAAATTTCTCTGCCCCTCCTGGGTCCGTGGGGGCATCTCCAGGTTCAAAGCCTGGCAGCTGGGCTGCACCTGATGGGGGGTAGGGGGGGTAGCAGGGAGCACACTGTGGGGTGCCATGGGGGGCCTGGGGTCTGTTCCTGTCTCTGCCGTTAACCTGCAGCGTGACCTTCGGCAAATCATTTCCCCGCCTGCCTATTTCGCCCCTGAGCTCTTCGGGGCAGGGACTGGCCCTGTCTATCTGTACAGCACCGAGCGCAATAGGGCCCTGATCCCAGGTGGTGCCTCCAGGCGCTGCTGAACTGTATACAAAGACCGTGATGATTTTCCTGGCCTGGGGGGCAGCTGGAAACAGCAGAGGCTGCATGATGGAGCCTTTTCTCATGGCATTTCCAGCCAGGCCTCGGGCGAGCTGGGGAAAGCACCCGCCTCGCTAGGATTTCTCTCCTCGCCCACCCCCGGAGCTGCTTGAGATTGCCTGCCCCTTGGCTGATGGAGTCCTTGGGCTCTTGCATCCAGGCTGAGTTATTTCCCTCTCTCCGCAGCAACGTGCAAGGAGACAGCCAGACCAGCATCTGCATCACCATCGAGCCTGGACTGCTCCTGAAGGGAGATATCCTGGTAAGAGACTGAGAGCAGCCTGCCCTGAACCTCCCATCCAGTGAGGAGCTGGGCCCACTGGGGCTGCCGGGGGAGAAGAAACAGCCCCTGGGGGAAGGGAGAGGATAGTCCATAGGGGTAGGGAGACCCCAGCTCAAAAGCTGTGCAACACCGAGCCCTAGGGGGAGCTGCCAGCGCCTACCCCACTGTTCTGCAGGTGATGGGGAAGGGTTCCCAGCTTTGCATCTTGGTGCAACCGGGTGAACTGGTGCCTTGCAATGGCCACGTGCTCACATGGCATCAAAGCCACCTCCACGCTGCATGGCCCTTGGAAGTCACTGCAGGATCCGTCCGCTCTGCCCTGTTGCAGTCCAGCCAGTTACCTAGATAGGAGGGTGTGCGACAGCTGGGAAGAGAGGAGAGAAACCACTCCCGCTAGGCCAGCTAGATAAGGAGAGGCGGCGAGACTGAGACCCGGCATTGCCCAAGGCCCAAGAGGGCTGACACCTCTTCCCTTCTCCCGGACAGCTGAAATGTTACCACAAGAAGTTCCGCAGCCCGACCCGAGATGTCATTTTCCGGGTGCAGTTCCACACCTGCGCCATCCATGACCTCGGCATTGTCTTCGGGAAGGAGGACCTGGACGAAGCCTTTAAAGGTGATTGCGTCGTTCTTGCCAGGCGGGGAGAGGGATGTGGGACCCAGCCTGGATGGGGGAATCTTGTGCCGCTCATGGTTTGGGGGGTTTATTGATGAGTTACTGTGACGAAGTGGGACTGTTCTTAATGTTTCCTCTGAATAGTGTGGGGGTGCCTCAGTTTCCCCTATGCAGTTCTTAAATATCTAGGGAGTGGGATAAGGGGGTATGATCATTGCAGAGCCCTAGAGGGCAGGTGTGTGCAGAGGTCTGGACACAGAGAATGGCCGACACCCTGTTTCCTGGCAAGTGATGGCCTGGGCCCTTTCCCCCTGCAAGGTGAGAGCTAAAGGGTTGGAGAACAAAGGAATCCGGTGACCTCCTGGCCCAGGAAAGGAACAAAGCCCAGAGGAGGAGGGACTGGAGAGCGTTTCAGTTTGGGGCTGGCTGGAGACATGGAGTGAAGTGCAGACGTGGTTGTCTGGCTCACTGCCCCCCCCAAAATGGACCCAGCTGTGGGGTCCTGTTCTCTGCACCTGCAAGCTCTGTTTTAGACCATGTTCCTGTCGTCTACTAAACCTCTGTTTTACTGGCTGGCTGAGAGTCACGTCTGTCTGCGAAGTTGGGGTGCAGGACCCTCTGGCTTCCCCAGGAGCCCCGCCTGAGCGGACTGGCTGTGGGAAGTGCATGGAGGGGCAGAGGATGCTGAATGCTCCGAGGTCAGACCCAGGAAGGTGGAAGCCATCTGAGCTGTGTGTCCTGAAGACAGGCTGCTCACAGAAAGGAGACTTCCCCAGAGTCCTGACTGGCTTCGCAGGGAGCATTTCCACAGCGTCGCCCGGGGGCTCCGTGACAACTGGTGGCAGAAGTAGATCTACTGCACCCCGTGGATGGCGCTTCCTGCAGTAAGTGACTGGGGAGCAGTAAAACGAAGGGGGATTGATGGGGACCAGGCATGCTGAAGATTCAGAGAGAGACGGTTTCAGGGGGCGGTTAAACCCTGGGAGTGTGTGACCAGAGAGAAGGACTTTTGCAGTAACAGGGTCCCGCGGGGGATTGCAGCAAGCGGTCCCAGGGGCGGAGGAGTCTGCAGCTCGACCCTGGCAAAGAGGGGGTGATCTTGAGAAGGGCTGGCACACTAGGGGTTCTCCCTGGAAACCGTGGGGAGCTGAGAGCACACAGGCCTGTGAGTCCATGACAACTTGGGAAGAGCGGAGTGACGGCCTGTCACCATCTCCTTAAGAAGGACATTGTAACTCTGTGCGGAAAGAAAGGGTTGAGCATTGGAAAGTTCACCAAAGCACAGTTAATCATGCAGCTGGAGGAGGATGACTGCCCTAAGGAGCAGATTCCTGACCCCAAATGGGGCTATAGCAGGATCTGAGAGCAGCTGGAGTAGTAGCCAGGCATCGCCAAGACTCCTGTCCCCGACCAGACGAGGGTCTTCACGATTGGGTTCCCCATCGGGGGATCGAGACGGACGGGATTGGAGCTGAGTCTGAGAGAGCAAGAGGACTGTGGGAGACAGCGAGAACCCGAGAAACAGCTGCAGAAGCAGCATGAACTGGCGGTGGGGGAGCGGAGAGGCCTAGGGGACCCCCCCAGGGGTGAGTGGGGATAGACCCCGGGGGGCCAGTTCCACAGGGAACCTCGAGACTAAATTGCTGCCCCTGGTTAAGGAGTGGGGGGATGTGGATGCCCACCTCACTGCCTTTGAGCAGGCTGGCGATTTGAACCAAGGGGACCCTGCGGAAAAGCCCCGGTGTCTAGCTCCCTTGCTGGGTCCCAAGGCCACAGACTCCGTCAGCCAGATGGGTGGGGAGGTGGACAGGCTCCCACTCCTGACCCCAACCTATATGTCTGTGTGGAGTTTCCTGGGGCCAGGCCCCTAGGACCTCCGGTGGGAGCGAAAGGTGATGGTCAATGGGGAGACATTCCTGGGGTGGCGAGATCCTGGGACAGAGAGAACTGTTGTCAGGCCCTGGGTGGTGCAGCCTCAGAGGCTGAGGGGCTGAGTGAACTGGGTGAGGGTCCCAGGGACGAAGCCCCTCGCCCTGCCTATGGCCCAGATCCCTGTGCAGACCCAGGAGAGGTCGGGCTGGCTGGTCGTTGTGGTTCTCCAAGATACCAGCTGCGAGACCCTGTTGTGGGGTGACTGTGTCTCTTTGGGACAGGATCCAGGCCCTGCTCCGGTAACTGCCAAGGGTTTGAATTTGAATCCAGGGAACCAATCGGTGAAGAGAGTAAGAGCAGAATTTCTGGGAGGGGTGAATTGTTGCATAGAAAAGCCCTAGGGAAAGGAATCCTCATGGAGTCTTTGCAAGCAGTTTACTGCAACTGAAGGGTGTGAAAGTGATTTAATCAAGAAAGCTTCAGTTCCTAACAGCCAGAAATTTTCTGTTGTGAATGGATCCACTGACTGTCCTGTTGAAAGATCTAGTGTGGATAGCTTTGAGAAGGTCTCAGATGAAGTGAAAGTTGTTAAGAAAGTTAAACAGTCCTCTAACCTCTAACTGGGAATTGGTCCTGCTTCGAGCAGGGGGTTGGACTAGATGACCTTCTGGGGTCCCTTCCAACCCTGATATTCTATGATTCTATGATTCTAACCAAGTGGCTGTGTTTGGCCAGCTTGTTGGGGAGAAGACCCAATCCCAGTTTGACCCCCTGGGATTTTGGGGGTGGCCAAAGGGCATGGGCTGCAGAAACCTTCCCACATGCGGCCTGCGAGTGCTATCGACCACCCCCGACCTAAGGGAGGGCGTGAAACTGGAAGGTGTAACTCCTACCAAGGAATTGGAGAGATGCTGGGGCATCCATGGGAACGTTGGTGGCTTCGAACTTCCCCAGGTCACTGGCTAAAGTGACCCTGCTCAGTTCGATCTCGAAGGGGGGAGAGATGTGACAAAGTGGGACTGTTCTTAATGTTTCCTCTGAATAGTGTGGGGGTGCCTCAGTTTCCCCTATGCAGTTCTTAAGTATCTAGGTGGTGGGATAAGGGTGTATGATCATCGCAGAGCACTAGAGGGCAGGTGTGTGCAGGGGTCTGGACACACAGAATGGCCGACACCCTGTTTCCTGGCAAGTGATGGCCTGGGCCCTTTCCCCCTGCAAGGTGAGAGCTATAGGGTTGGAGAACAAAGGAATCCGGTGACCTTCTGGCCCTGGAAAGGGACAAAGCGCAGAGGAGGAGGGACTGGAGAGAGTTTCAGTTTGGGGCTGGCTGGGGACATGGAGTGAAGGGCAGACGTAGTTGTCTGGCTCACTGCCCCCCAAAATGGACCCAGCTGAGGGGTCCCGTTCTCTGTACCTACAAGCTCTGTTTTAGACCATGTTCCTGTCGTCTACTAAACCTCTGTTTTACTGGCTTGCTGAGAGTCACGTCTGTCTGCGGAGTTGGGGTGCAGGACCCTCTGGCTTCCCCAGGAGCCCTGCCTGAGCGGACTGGCTGTGGGAAGTGCACGGAGGGGCAGAGGATGCTGAATGCTCCGAGGTCAGACCCAGAAAGGTGGAAGCCGGGTGAGCTGTGTGTCCTGAAGACAGGCTGCTCACAGAAAGGAGACTTCCCCAGACTTCCCCAGAGTCCTGACTGGCTTCGCAGGGAGCATTTCCACAGCATCGCCCGGGGACTCCGTGACAGTTACTTTGCCTGCGTGGTTTTCACATTTCTGCTCCACTGCGGTTCTGATACAGCTCCTATGACTAGGGTGTCTGGGAACATAGATATATCAGCTCCGCACTGGGGGACTTTGGTGATTTTCAGAGGACTTGAAATATCAGAATCCCAATGTGCTCCCCAAACTGTCTCTGCTTCTCTCTCTGTAGCATATCTAGCTGTTATCCAGGTTCAATCCGCCCGGGGGACCTGGGGCGACGCCTTTCTCCACATTAAAAGTGCAATGGGATCTGTAATGACCTCTTTGGTTTTGCATCTTATCTAAGATGGTTGCACAGCACTTCCCAACACCATGGTGGCGCATTGATCCAATGCCAGCCCACTGGAAAGGGCATCACCAGCTCCACGTCCTCCAAATCTGGGCTGTCTTTGGCCTCTCTAGTCCCACCCCTCCTTATTTGTGAGATCCGATTAGCTCATTCATGGGCTGCCTGCCTACCTAGGCTCTTACGTGGCCCTTCTACCACCACGTCTCAGCACCGGAAGTTGGGAATGTCCCACCGATGCACATGGAGGTTCACGCCTGCTCCTGTCTAGGGCAGCTGTAAGGAATATCTGCCAAGCTCAGCTCATTGGGAAGTTGCTCTCGACATCTCGTCCAGCTACCAGTGGGTACTAGCCTGAGACGGGGGTTTTCTGCTTGATGCAAACCTGCCCGCTAGACCCGACTGGGAGTTTTCATACCTGCATCCTACCCTCCACGTCCGTGTGACCACAGTGAGCTGAACGTTGTCAATAAACACACAATGCCTGGAGAGTAGATGGTATTTTTCTTGCCTCCAGCAGCACTGTATATCCTAAGTGGTCCCCATTGATAATTCATTGGGTCAGTCAGTCTGTTCATCGATCCATAGGCTGCTGTTGGGTGAAGGTCCCTTCAGCTCTGCCCCGGTCATTCCTCTGAATCATCTCCTCTCAGTTCTGCTCGGGGTTCCTGCCACTCGTCCATCTACAGCTGGTTGGTCTACAGCCAAGAAAAATCAAAATTTTCTGACCACAAAACTTGCAGTTTTCTACAGCCACCCATCCATTCTGAGCCACTCGTCCACCATTATCAGCCGCTTTTAAGCCCTACTGGAGGACTCGTGCACAAAGCTGGTTGGAAATCTTTTATCGAAACAAATTTTTTGATTAAAAATAACTTTTTGGTGAAAGGGAAATTTTAGGGGAAAAAATTCCATTTTCGATGAAAACGAAAACGAAAAAAAAAGAAAAAGAATTCAGCGAGAAATTGAAACAAAATCAATTTTTTCCCTTTGTTGAAATTTTACGGAAGACAAAGAATCATTTCCTGACCGGCTCTCTGCTTGAACCTCTGCTGCTTCCCTCCATCCTCATCTCCAGGTCCCTGCCCTACCTCAGGGTGAAGGTCTCTTCTGCATTGCTCCTGTCCAGCCAGCCCTACCGTCCGCTCTCCTCCTCTGCAGATCACTGACCTGGGGGTGATCTCCCTCTGTAGCAGCTGCTCTGTCTCTCCGCCCACATCACTGCAGGGGAGAGACCTGGCATTGCTCCATCCCTATCAGCTGCTTTCATCCCCGGTGCAGGCTGAAGGTCTCTTCCTCGCTCCTCAGGCCGGATGGGTTTGCCTGCAATCTACACGTGTGGCCAGGGATGTCACCCTGCTCACCAAGTCGTCTTCCCCAAGCTGCACCATGGGGTTGAACTCGCTGGGGGTGGTTGCCCCCCTGGCATCTCTCATGGGTTCTTCAGCAGACTGATCCCACTGCCGGAGTCTTGCCTGGGTCACTCAAACCACTGTTCACTTGCCGGCTGGTCCGGTAACACGTGCTGTTACTCGGTCTTCTGCACCGTCAGAGCGCCGCGATACAAAGGCGTCCCCTAGCTCCAGCAGCTCGCCCTTGGACACAAGTCCGCTGGATTCAGCGAGTAATTTACAACCATGCCCCAGAGAGGCGGGGAGGTGAAACATGATGCTCCGGAAATACCCGAGGTGATGCACTTCACGCGGGGGCTGTGCCAGCAACTGTTGCCCTAAGCCCTGGAACAATATTAGTCACTCCAGCATGGACACTGTGACGTTTTTACAGCTTGCAAGGGCGGGCAGGGGATGGGTGTCAGACTCTAGACCATGATGAAGTACTTTTGATGGAGAGTGATGCTGAGGATGTATTTCTTAATGTAATGACCCTTTGGCCCTGGAGCAGGCTCCCCAGCTCAGGTTCCCCTGCGTAGATCTCTCACCTTCGCCTGTTTTAAGTCTCAAGAGTTGATTGAATTGGAGAGCGAAGGGAGGAAGCCACATATTGCAGCTGGTGGCCAAGGATCACTCGTTATTTCCATCAGAGGCGTGTCTTGGGCCTCCCCCAGTGGGAAGGACTCCCCATTACAGCAGCGACTGACAGTGGGGTGGAGAACGTTGCTCAGATGTTCTGATGTTGAGCACGGTGTGAAAGGCAGATGGGGCACCCCCTTGTTGAGTGGCGGGGGACACCTTTCTTGGGGGTGTGTTGGCGGCTTATGGGGTCCTCCATCTCTATGGAGTCAATGACTGGAGGGGGCTGCCATCCAAAGGCCGGTCTCTGTGAAATGGTGTCATGGGCCTTAGTCCATTTCCTAGCTGGGATTCAGCCGTGTCTCTAAATCGGCACTGATTGGCCCTTTGTGGTTGACCCCAGCAGGGAGGCTAAGAACAGAATGGCCATGGAGGTAGAACGCACGCTGGCAATTGTGGTTCAGTGGTGGTTGAACGCACACCGGTAGGGGACTGTGCTCCTGGCAGGACTGTGTCATCCCTGCTTTATAGGCATCAGACCCTAGGCGGCAGGGGATGGATCACTTGATGATTCCCTGTTCTGTTCATTCCCTCTGGGGCACCAGGCATTGGCCGCTGTCGGAAGACAGGATACTGGGCTAGACGGCCGTTCTTATGTTTTTATGTTTGATGAATGGGGGGCTCTGTCTCCACAGTTGGGAGTCTGACATTTTACCCAGGCTAAGCTCTCATGGTGGAAACAGCAAAGGGTTGCCCATGGCCTTGCCCGTCGGTGGGCCACTTCTGGACTCCCCTTGCCAAGGGCCGCTGGGGCTGTGGTGGGATCAGCGTTAAGGCTCTAGTTAGGTGCAGGAGATTCTCGTGATAAAGACCAAGGTCCCTGTTATTGCCCGACTGTCCTGAACGCAGGTGCTTGTGTGTCGGTTTCCTTGGTGCTGGCTTTGGGGAGGTGACTTGGCTGCTGCTCCCGCGGGTTGGACACACACTGAGTTTCCTGTGTTCCGTTTCCATCCTAGACGACCGGTTTCCGGAGTATGGGAAGGTGGAGTTTGTGTTTTCGTACGGCCCGGAGAAGATCCAAGGTACGGCCGGTGGCCCTTCTGCATGGGGCATTGCAGCCCAAAGTTACTAATCCCTGAGCCCCTTCCTCCCCCTTCCCACCTCTTCCAGTGCCTGCCACCTCTGCTCCCGTCCCCTTCAGCCCCTGCTCTTCTCCTTGCATCATTCTCCCTGCCCCTGTGCCAGCACCCCACTGGTGCTGGGCAGCTCCTTGGTGGGTGAGTGTGGGCGAAGGGGCCCTGCTGCCAGGCGCTGAGCATGCCCCCTGTGTGGGGGCCAGTCTCGTACTGCTCAGTAATACAGCCTCGCTTGGAATGAGGCATCCCCATGGTGACCTGTCCGGGCAGGGGAGCAGCCCCCATCCCCTCCTCCACCTTCACGGAGGCCAGAGCCCATCTCTGGGCAGGACACACAGGGAGCTGCTGGTCCCGGAGCCTTTCCAGGAAGGGCTTGTAGGCCCCCTCCTTGGGGCCGGTAGGGGAACTGGGTCCCAGCCTCGCCCCTGGGTTCCAGCCCAGAGCCCTGTACTGCGCAGCTGGGCTGGACCTTTTCTCCCTATTGCAATTTTCCCTGGGAAACTTCCTACCTTGCCTCTTTATGACCCCTCTGGGTTTCCCAGTCTCTTCCCTGGCTAATCAGGGTCTCTCCCAGGACCCCTGCCTGAGAGCTTTCCTCCCTCTCTCCCTGCTCTTAGCCTCTTTTCCTGCTCTGGCTCCCCTCTGCCTTGTCAGGGCCCTGCAGTCTCTTACCTCCAGCTCTTTCTCCACTGGACCCTCTTGGAGCTTAAACCTGGCTCCTTTTACACAGGAATCATCTGGTTCATAGGTTCTTAGAGTCCAAGGCCAACGGACCATTGGGACCATCTCATCTGACCCCTCCTCCCCCCCCCCCACCGGCCATAGAGGTGCCCCAAAACAATTCCTAGAGAAGGTCTTCTGGGAAAAAAAATCCAATCGGGATTGAAAAATTGTCAGTGATGGAGAACTGACCATGACCCTGGTAAATTGTTCCTTCCAAGGGCGAATTACTCCAACAGTTACGCCTCATTTCCAGTCTGAATTTGTCTAGCTTTGACTTCCAGCCACTGGATCGTGTTAGACCTTCGTCCGCTAGACTGAGGAGCCCCTTATCAAATGTTTGTTCCCTGCGTAGGTGCTTAAAGACTGTGATCAAGTCACCCCTTAACCGTCTCTTTGTTAAGCTACATAGACTGAGGTCTTTGAGTCTGTCATTATAAGGCAGGTTTTCTAATCCTTTAGTGGTACTCGTGTGGTTCTTCTTTGACCCCCCTCCAATTTATCAACATCCTCCTGGAACTGTGGGCACCAGAACTGGACCCAGGATTCCAGCAGCGGTCGCACTAATGCCCAATCCAGAGATGAAATAACTCGAGATCCCCCTGTTGATGCTGCCCAGAATCGCATTAGCTCTTTTGGCCCCGGCGTCACGTTGGGAGCTCATGTTGAGTTGATTACCCACCACGACCCCCAAATCTTGTTCAGAGTCACTTCTTCCCGCTCAAGAGTTCCCCATCCTGTGAGTATGGTCTCCATTCTTTGTTCCTAGATGAATATGTTTACATTTAGCTGTATTAAAACACATAGTGTTTGCTTGAGCCCAGTTTACTAAGCGATCCAGGTTGCTCTGGATCAGTGACCTGTCCTCTTCTTTATTTACCCCTCTCCCAACTGTTGCATCTTCTGCAAACTTTATCAGTGATGATTTCAGGTCATTGATAAAGATGGTAAATAGCGTAGGGCCAAGAACCAATCCCTGCAGACCTGACTAGAAACATACCTGTTAAAATGATGATTCCCTATTTACAGTTACATTTTGAGACCTATCAGTTAGCCAGTTTTTAATCCATGTAATGTGTCCCAAGTTAATTTTATATTATTCCAGTATTTTAATCAAAATGTTGCTCAGTACCAAATCAAATGGCTTACAGAAGTCTCTATATATTATGATATATACCTTTATCAACCAAATTTGTTATCTCATCAAATAAAGTTATCAAGTTAGTTTTCCATAAACCTATGTTGATTTGCATTGATTACATTACCCTCCTTTAGCTCATTGTTAATTGAGTCCCGTAGGAGCCGCTCCATTATCTTGCCAGGGATTGATGTCAGGCTAACAGGCTTATAATTACCTGGTCATCCCATTTACCCTTTTAAAAATTGGCACATTTGCTTTCTTCCAGTCTTCTGGAACTTCCCTAGTGTTCCAAGACTTACTGAAAGTCAACATGATGGTCCAGTGAACTCCTCAGCCAGCTCTTTTAAAACTCTTGGATGCAAGTTATCTGGACCTCTGATTTGAAAAGTCCAACTTTAGTAGTTCCTGTTCAGCATCCTCCAGAGATACTAATGGGAATAGAAAGAGTGTTATCATCACCATATGAAAGTGGGGCTCATCCTGTAATCAGGGTTGGTTTAGCCACAGGCGCTCTACCCCAAGAGAAAGCCACTCTGTTACAGTACCCCTCAGTCTGTGCATCTATATACATGACCTTCTGTCACTGTCCATCCCCATACATGTCCTTGTGTCTGTCTTGTTTGCGCCTTTCTGTCCATCCATATACACGCCCCTCTGTCTGGCCCCATACATCTCCCTCTGTCCGTCTGTCTGTTTGGTCAGGAAGAGCTTCCTGACAGTTAGATCTACTAGTTCACAGGATGCCCTGAGCAGGGAAGTGCTGGGAGTCCAGTGTCAGGCAGGATAACCCCTGGTGAATGACTGATTGGAACAGCCTGGCTTTGGCAGAGAGACAGAGTAGGTCCTGTGATGAGTCTTTCCCATCTCCAGAGGCTATGATTCCTTTCCTCTTCCTTTTGTCCTGCCTTTTCCCCCTCTCTCCTTTCACTTCCTGTCTCTTTCTAATAACCCAGCTTCTCCCATCTCTCCGCACGCCCCCAATCCTGCCCGGCCTGTTCCCGTCTCTCCCCTTGAAGTTCCAACACACCACACTCGTGTGTAGCTTCGGCCTCCTTTACTGACTCACCTCCGCTTGCCCCCAGGGATGGAACATCTGGAGAACGGCCCCAGTGTCTCCGTGGATTACAACACCTCGGACCCCCTCATCCGATGGGACTCCTACGACAACTTCAACATCCGCCGAGAGGACAGCCTGGAGGGTACGTGGGCTGGTCCCCATGAGGCCCACAAACCTCTGGACACAGGTCATTGTTATAACATATTATTATATTGCTGTGGCCCCTGTGAGAGCCCCTGATGTGCCAGGCACCGTGCAGACAAGTCATAAAGAAGGCAGTCGCTTCCCCAGAGAGCTCCCGATCTTGGGGGTCAGACAGGTGGATGAGACAGACAAATGGCGGGCTGGGTGGAGGAGGTGGCGATAGGGCCCTCTGGTCTTCCAGCTACGTCTGTGTGCTCGGAAATAAGTGCGGGGAGATATTTAGATTTATAAACAAGAGACACCTGTCTTGAGGCTGCGGCCGCCTCTGAGAGCGGATTAAAAATACAGTAGCTCAATATTATTGATGGGAGCGATGGAGCCAGGCCCATGGCGTATGCCGGTTACGCAGCAAGGCTAGGACCAAGCTATTCCCCACGTTGGCATGCTCAAGACCCAGCAGCCATCTGGGCCATCAGCCCTTGCAGCTCACAAGCTGGGGGTGAGGGGCGCTCTTGCAGGATTGTTTGGGGGGGCACATTCCAGAGGCAAAGGGTCCCTCCTTGAACCCCCTACCTCCTTTATACAGAGGAAGTCTAGCATCAGCATCCCCTGCATGTGACCTGCGGAGAGAGGGGATCTTGCAGGGAAGTTCAAACCTGAAGTTAACAGGCAAAAGGGGGTATAGGAATCCGAGTGTGTTATTTATGGAGCCCTCATCCCTGTTTAAGTTCTAACCCCCGCCTCACTGCCCGCAGGGCTCGGTCCTTCCAGCTCAGGGGCGGGCGCCTTGGCGGGGTAGCGCTGGGGGGAAGCTGGCATTGCAGCTGCCCATGCTGGAGCTGCTCGGTGGGATGGGACAGGCCTCCTGTCTCTAGGGCTGTGGATCCAGCCCCTCGCTACCAGTCTGGAGTTTGGAGAGGGCATCCTGGCCTTGCCAAGCCTGAGTGAATCCTGAGTGCTGGGTAGATTTTGCCTTCCCTGGGAGAGGGGCCAGGGGTCTCAGGCCAGAAGGGCTCAAAGTGCCCTGCGCTTGAGGCAGATACGGCTCAAGAGAGCCAGGGAGCAGGGCAGAGGGCAACACAACCCTTCTCTCTCGCTCCTTCCCTACCTGCCGTTCCTCAACAGCCCTGCTGGTACTGGCGGCTGGGACAGGTTGGGGCCCGTCACTTGCTCTGGGTTCCAGGCCGCCGAGAGGTGAGGCTTGCAGGGCGTGGGCAGGCAGGGAGACAGGCAGGCAGCGAGTGGGTGCTGCATGGCGGAGAACCATCATCCCACCTGCCTCCCGTACCCAGGCCTGTCAGCTCCTCAGGGTCTTGGCAGCCGCTTCCGTGGCCTGCAGGCAGCGAGGGTGACGGGCGACCCTGGCCCGAGAGAGCTGGGATCGTTGTGGGTCTGAGTCGGGGGCTCAGATAAGCTGCCCAGAGTGCCGGGGTTCGTGCAGACCTCCCCGTTCTGCAGAGCTGGGCTGGGGATCTCACTGGAATAGCTTCGCTGGCTCCTGGCCAGAGCCCAGACACGCCAAGTTCCCAGAGAAACGAGACGCAGGGCCAGACGGATTGACTCCAGCAGAGGGTGATTATCAGAAACGGGAGCCCTGCTGGCGGGTGCAGGACTATCATAGAATCATAGAATATTAGGAGACCTCAGGGAGGTCATCTCCAAGACGCAGAAGAAGACTCGGTCCCTGCCCCAGGATCTTGTGACCCAAATGCACCATTAATATATGTGGGGAGGGGATGGCGGGGACCTGGGCCTGGGTGGCGGGCTGTTACTGCTTCAATGCTTTGTCTTCCCGACATGCACGTGGACCGCGGCTCGTGCTTGTTCTAGATCCCAGCAAGGCGGGCGATGGCATTTGGGATCTCGTCCCAGACAGGACACCGTCGCGGGTGCGTCAGAGAAAGCTGGCCTCCCCTCGCCCCATCACAGGGAGGCAGAGCCGACGCCTGGCACTCGGCTGAGGCTGTGCAGCCCGAGGGTTATTACCCAGCCATGAAAGCATTTGAGCTCCCATCCTAGCATAGCGCAGCTGCCAGCCGCTGGAGGGGGCGACTGGGTTTTGGGATTGGCAAGGGGGAGCCACTCAGCTGAACAGCAAGAAGGGGCTTAGTCTGAATGTCCATGCCGTACCGGGGGTTAGTTTCTGAAGGGGGTGGGGACTGTTGGGTGTGGAGAGCCACTCAGCTGCACTGCTTAGAGCTGGGGGGATCTCAGCATGGCCCAGGGACTAGGTGCAGCAAGGGCAGAGGGGGCAGGACGGGGGTCCTCTCTGGCCGTGGGAATGACCCCACAGTCCCTGCCAAGGCAATGGAGTGTGAAGTCACAAGCAGTAGCACCAGGGAGGAGAGGGACTGTAGTGGGAGCCCAGCTGGCTGCACTGAGGGTCAGTGGGTTGTTGGCGGTGGCAAGTGAGAGAGTAGAAAGGGCAACAGTGTCTCAGCCCAGTCACTAGCCCACGGCGATCCAGCCAGCCATGGAGAATGCAGAGCGCAGAAAACCTGGAAGAGAAAAGCCAGGGGGCACGTGCCTGGGAAAGTTGTTATTTATTATTAACCTTCTGTCCTTCCCTGGTGCCTCCCATCCAGGGGGTCTCAGCATGCTTTGTACCTCACAGCTACCATGTAACACCAGCGGTATTTAGTGCTTGTCTGACCACACACACACACACACTCACACTCTAGATCTAAAGCACTTGACAAAGGAAGGTCGGTCTCATTAATCCCATTTTACAGATGGGGAAACTGAGGCGCAAAGAGGGAGAGCGGCTTGTCCAAGGACTCCCCCCTCCTTCCCACCGGCGATCCAGGAGTCAAACCCAGATTTTACAGGATGGTTAGCCTGGGGTTAGCCTGGAGTCTCATTTTCTGTTGTTCGCGCTATCGCAGATTTGGGCAAATCGTATGACTAATCTGTGCCACAGTTTCCCCATCTGTGGAAAGGGGGTAATTCTATCTACCTACCTGACCTGTGGGGGAGTGGGCTAAGGCTTTGGACTTGGCAGATCAGCAGCACTGTAGATAGGCAGAGTATTCCCTCTTTGCTTTTTGCTCCTGCCCTTCGCCTCTTGGTCATCCTTGACCATTGCTGTTGGGTTGCAGGGAGCAGATGGTGTTTTTATTTTGAAGGTGTATGGGGCACGTGTCCCTGGCTCCCTGGACATTTGCCTGACTGTCAGATGCCCAGTCCTTGCTGCCACCACCGGGGTGACGTGAGTGTTTACAAACTGCCCAGCTTGATGTATGAGCAAGCAGAGCCTGCATTGCTCCTATGGGCGCCCCAGGGGTCTGTCCAGTTCTGGACATCTTGGCTTCTTCTGTGTCCTGCGGGCTGCGAGCGCTGCACTCGGGAGTCCTGAGTAAAATCTCCCCCTCCCCATGGTTTGGTTCACAGTGTGGGCATGGAAAGCTGGCAAGGGGCAGCCGCCGAATTCCTGGCAGGGAGGAGGAAACAAGGACTCGTGACACACGGGCTCGGGCATGTGCCTGGCGTATCGGGTACCCAGGGTGACCTCATTAGTTCTGCAGAGAAGGGTCCCGACCGCCCTTCCCTAAGGAAAACAGCGATGCTGACATCTTAAAGGGCCGGAGACCTTCCCCAGCAAGATTCCAGTCCAAGCCAATGGCAGGTTTTGCCTGAACAAGGATTGAGCAAAACCTCAAGATCTGGCCTGTTCACAGAATCTAAGATCAACAAGTCATCCTGGGCCAAAAATTGCATCCCCGGCCCGTCAACCTGCAACAAACTCGGTCATGAGCTATATTTAAGTGCTGGCTGGCTCAGCCTTGCTTCATTCGAGCCTCCCATTCGCCTGGGGCGTGGAGAGCTGCAGATGAGCCAGTGAACGTCAAGGAGATGATGGTTCCCCTAACTCTGCGTGGGGAAGTGGTGGCTACACGAGGAGAGGGCTGGAGTGAGAGCAAGGCCTGACAACCGGGCAGCTGCTTTGGCATGTGCATTGACCAGAATCTAACTCAAGAACAGTAGGAAAAAGCAGAGCTCCAGGGGAAATTGCCCACGGCGGCGAAGAAATGTTTTATGCCCTGTAGGCTTCGCTTTCTGTCTTGCATATGGAACTCCTTTCCATTCCCTTGTAAGGTCAACGACGGTTCCCGTTCCTGGAGGCCCGCGCTCGAAACTTTTCATCCCCCTTGTGGGAAATGTTAACAATAACGGAGGGCTCGTGAAATCCTTGGAGGGACCCAGCTAAGCCTCGCAATTTATGACTTCTTTCTGGGAGAGCCACGCCTGCCTGACCAAGCTGTCAGGAGGGGCAGGTACCGAGGACGTGTATTTATCATTCCTGGCTCAGATTCTCATGGAAAATCCTTGGACGAGTCGAGCCAGGGATCGCCCCAAGAAGGACTGGTTAGTTATTTATCGGTGTTCTCCTTTTCACCGCTCTCTGCCAGCCACAGCCGCTGAGAGCCAGGCACTGCAGCATTTGGCATTATGGGCACAAGGAGGGCTACCCTGTCTTGTGTCTCTGGCTCCTCTTCTCTTCCTACTTGGACAAATCAGATGATCCGGGCCTCCATCATCCCCGATTGTCTGTGTTCTTGGCGTCTCTGGGATGTTCTAGTCAGGATTGCCATCTAGGGACAGGCTTGGGGAAAGTGGCAGCTCCCTGCCCCTTTCCTGTTTTCACAGCGCCCGGCGGGCAAATGATTCCTCTCTTCTTAGGAGCCTCAGCCTTGAGGTGAGATCACGGCATCAGGTTTCTCCAGACTCCTTTCTTCACGGCATGCTCCTGCCACATCAGAGTAGCAAGATGGGCCACCTCAGCACCGGGAGGCTTGTTGGGAAAAATATTAGTTGCGGGTATCGGGCCTGATTCTGCATCCATTGGCAACCCCCCGCTGAGTTCGATCAGGCAGGATCCAGCCGCAGCCTGTCCGTGTGGCAAGGAAGTAGGCACAGAGGAGACAGTCAAAGAGCCATCGATTCCAAGCAGCAGGGACCTCCAGCTCAGCTAGTCTGACATGCAGCACATCACGGGGCACTAACCCCGCCCAGGCCTCTCTGCCTCGAACCCCCAAACCTGGA